TTACGCGTTTTGCTATCTTTTTGCATTTTGTTTATGTTTTTATGCTGTTTGCGTCTATTTTCTGTTGTTGTCTTACAGATGTAGTCAAGCTTCTGCCTTGATTGCAAGAACAAATAGATTTTTTCCATGTTTTGTTTAGTTATATTGTTTATCGTTTGTTTAAGATTTACTTTCATCAATTTTCCTACTTAATCAGTTATTTTATTGTTTATGATTCTTTGGGCTTTATTACCGTAAATACTGTAAGAGTACCCCATCCCCCTCGTACAGTCGCGTAGTCACAAAAGTTTTTTTAGTATTTCATTTTTTTTACAAAGCGCCCGTACTTTCAAAAAAATGTGTCTTTGGTATCAAAAAATAGCTGAAATTCAGGGCTATTTTTTGATACCTAAACGCGCATTGTAGCATAAACCATGTCGAGAAAAACGCGTTCAAAGCTAGACTACGCAACACTCCGCACCGTCATAATGGGGGTGGGACACTATTACAGTATTTACGGTATGTTTATGATTGTTTATGAATAAGCGGAAACAGCATAAAATTAAACTAAATCTTAAACAAACAATAAAAACACAAAAACTAAACAAAAACATGGAAAAAAAACTATTTGTTCTAAAAAATAAACAAAATGCAACAACATAAACATGAACATATCAAAACGCGTAAATAAATTATTTTTCGCGGCAAAATGGCAAAACGGGCTTTTCTAGGTTGCTTGAGTTAATCTTCTATAAAATCTCTATAAAATCTCTATAAAATTTCTAGAAAATGATTAAAAACATTTAGAAAACATGATACCCTACTGTGCAATAATGTCTCAATCCAAATCGGATACAATATATGCATGCAGAACACATCCTTGTACATAACTCAAAAGATCCAAACCAAAACCTTAATGGACCACAAAAAAAGTCAAATAAGTGACTTTTTTTCCTTCTCAAAAACCTAGCGGAAGAAATTTGCGAAAAATGGGAACCGATTAGTGAAAAGGGAAAAGCCTTTGAAGTTTTGACTCTCTTTTTCTCTAGATTTTTCTGAGCATTCTTTCTGAAAGTTAGGGTTCTCTTGAAAGAATGAACTCAAACATTTTTGTCTAAAGAAATCTTTTCTTTTTTGATTCTTTCACTGGCTTTAGAACCCCGGAAGGCAAAGGGAAAGAAAAAAACGAGAGTTCTTGCTAAATTGGCCTTGATTTTGGGTTAGCAAGTTGTTGGAAAGTTTTCGAGTTAAAAAAAGAAAGTTTTTGGAGTTGGCAAGTTGGGAGGCCAGAGAAATTGGCAGTGTTGGATAAAGTGTTGGATAAAGTCATGAAAGACATTCATAAATAGTACAGAAGCTCACTAATTTGTGACTTTTTGACTAGTCTTCAGAAAAAACTCGCTTAAGACTGGAAAGGTCAGAGCTTGAAGCGAAGAAATATGAGTGTATCGGAGTGGGGAGAAGCTCTCCCTCCCCAAGTTCTTTCAAAGCAATGGGGTCCTTTCTCTTCTCCTTTCTTCTATAAAATGGGGTCTCCGGGGACTCCTCACCTCTTCTTCTCCGCAAACAAAAGAGGAGATTCTTCCAATCCTCCTTTTAAATGTGAACAACTCCCGCTCAGCGCTGGGTTGGTGTTGAGCAAAGATTGATAAAAGTATTAGACTATTCAGAAAGTCTTTTCGTTCCTTTTCATACTTCCGTTTAAGGTTGGCCGATAAGTCTTTGGAGACTTTTAAAATTTGTTTAGAAATGAAAAATTCACCAATTGGCCTACGGTTTGCTCCAAATAGAAGACGTTCATTATATAATTTTCTTTTTACACTAATCTGGGCCCGTTTCCAAGAAAATCCGAGCGCAAAAACCGATTTCGCATAAAATTCGATAAAAGGTGATACAAAGAAATTTGCTGAACGGATTTTTCTGAAAATTTGGCGATTTACCTAACTTTTTGCGCTTTTTTAAATCTATTGACAACAAAATAGGTTTCTTTGAACCAAAGTGTCTAAATAGCCGTTGCTCTTTTTGACTGCCCGAGTTCGCACTCCGAAAGTCCAGAAATAAAACATTTCTTAAGATTTCAACGATTTTTTTTAAAATATCAAGCCTTTCTAATGGAACAAACCGTAGGTCAATAGATCAATTGATCTTTCTAAATAGCTTTTTAAATGAAGTATCCAAAGAATTATCGGCCAACAGAATAATACATTTACATCTGAAGATCTCAATGTGAGGGTGGAATCAAATATAAATTGATGGGCAAATTCCAACCCGAACCAAATTCCATTGGAATCAGAATTTAGTCCTGTCTAGAGTACCGGTACTACGCCAAGTCACTTGCCTATTTTGACCTTTAGTTCTTATATAGGTATTCGAAGCTGTACATACAGTACCGAGCAAAAGTCTTGCAACATCACTTTTTCAAAAAAATCGATGAAATTTTTTTATAGAAAATGCCACCCGTTCGTAGGGCTTTTTTGTTTTTAATTAGAATAATATATGTACACTTTATTTACAAAAACAAATTAGAAGTTCAGCGTAAAACAAAAAAGTAAATGACAAAACTACTAAAAAATACCCTAAAAACTGGGTGCAAAAGTCTTGCAGCATTCTATGTTTCTCATTTTTATTGTTTTCAAATTGATTAATTTACACTAATTTTTGTTTTTTTCAGATGCCAGGTACCTAATTGACGACTCCCGAAAGAGAAAAAACCATGAAAGCAAGAAAAAAAAGAACTTCTCGAGCCGTTGTCTCCGATCTCTTCAAATGCGATCCATCGACCGTTTCTCGCATTGTTTCAAAAGCAAAAATAACTGGACTTATGCACCGAAGAAAGAAGAAAGGACGGCCAAGAAGAACAACAGCAAAAGAGGATCGAATACTTGTGATGGCTTCCAAGAAGGATCCGAACATGACATCAACTGAGGGAGCTCGGCTGATCAAGGATGTTGCAAACAAGGATATCTCTCGATGGGCCGTTCCTCGACGATTGACTCAAGCAGGACTGTATAGCCGGAGGGCTGTACGAAAGCCTTTGATGACCGCTGGCCACAGGAAACAACGGCTTCTATTCGCCAGGACGCCAGGAAGTTGGACAAAGCAGGATTGGGTCAACGTGATTTTTGTCGATGAAACAAAAGTGGATATCTTTTCTCCAAAAAACAACCACTTGATCAGACGACCCATTGGAAAGTGAATACTCCTTAAATATGTGCGACCTACAATGCGAGCTGGCAGAGGATCAATCATGTGTTTTGATAAGCCTTATTTCTAATACATGCATTAATTTGTCTTTTTCTAGGGGCGATGACAAAAAATATGGCAGGTCCGCTCGTCCTCGTCCAGTCAACCATGAATGCTCTCCAGTCTATAGAAATACTAGAAGGATGTCTACTTCCATTTGCTCAGGATTACATGGCTCATGGATGGTTTCTCTACCAGGACAATTCGCCGGTTCACAAGAGCAAGCCCATGATGGGTCCCACGGTGAGTCTCTCAAATGGAGGAAAAGCCGATCTCCCTGGATGGTTTGCCCTTAATAATGTTTGGTTGGTCAATGTGCCCCCTATGTCGCCTGATTTAAACGTTATTGAGAATTTATGGGCTTACGTGAAGACAAAGTTACGAGGAAAAGACTCTCACACAAAAGTCGACTTATGGTTCTACATACGAAAAGTTTGGAGCTTAATTCGCCTAGCAATTCTTCACGAATTAGTCGACTCAATGCCTAAACGACTTAATGAAGTGATTTTGGCAAAAGGTGGACCGCTTGAATATTAATTTTTGGTGTTTCTGTATAATGTTGCAGGACTTTTGCACCCAGTTTTTAGGGTATTTTTTAGTAGTTTTGTCATTTACTTTTTTGTTTTACGCTGAACTTCAAATTTGTTTTTGTAAATAAAGTGTACATATATTATTCTAATTAAAAACAAAAAAGCCCTACGAACGGGTGGCATTTTCTATAAAAAAATTTCATCGATTTTTTTGAAAAAGTGATGTTGCAAGACTTTTGCTCGGTACTGTATTGGATACCAGATCACCAATCATAGAAATTCTACAGATATCTTAAAGTAGCTTGCTCGTGGGGGCCTAATCAAAATAGCACCACCAAAACAGCGCCGTTCAAAACAGTGCCCATACAAAAATGGCGGCAAATTGTAAAAGATTGCGATTAGATTTTTCAACTCCAAGGTTTTCTACTTTTCACAACAACTTATAACTTTTGTTATTTTTAAAAGTTTTAAAACAATGCGGGGTGGGACAAATGCTACCTTTTTTCGCTGGAAAAGCAAAGGCAAAGGCCGTAGAGCCATAGAGCTTCAAAAAGGCCGTAGAGCTTCAAAAATGTTTTCATATAGGGGAATCGTATGCGTAGGTTCCGAATTTCGACAAATCAGACCTCGCTGACACGTCAAATTTGTCGAAATTCGGAATCTGCCCATACGATTCCCGATCAGGAAAACATTTTTGAAGCTCTACGGCATTTCCTAAGGCCTTTTCCAGCCAAAAAAGGCCGAATTTGTTCCACCCCCAACAATGCGGCACATTTTGTTGTTCGTTGTCGTTGAAACGTAGAAGGCTTCTATTTCTTCGTTCTTTTGGAGAGGTTCTTTCTGAAAAACACAAAATTAAGTACCAAGAACAGTAAAAACAAGAAAAAAAAAGATGAAAAACAAAATGTGCCGCATTGTTTATTTAAAATGTGCCATAAAACATGATTCTGATGATGAAATATTCCATCGGTTGTGCGTCAAAACACGCACAAGGTGCTTAAAAACATTTTAAAAAAGAGTTACAAGAGTTACAAGTTGTTATGAGAAGTATAAACACATTGAAGTCAAAAAATCTAATCGTAGTCTTTTTCAAATTGGGGCTATTTTTGTACGGGCGCTGTTTTGTCTAGGTTCCTGCTCGTGTTAAGCGTTGTCGTAACCATTCAACAGTTTTTATGTAACAAACTTTTTAAAATTGCGTTTTATAGATTTTCAATTCTTTCAAACTTCGTTAGTTTTCTCTAACTAATGCGTGTCGAGTTTAAGGTTCGTTTTTGCTTTCTTTCTTTTGTTTTCTCAAAACTTGCAGCTTTTTTCAGAAAGTCGTCAGCGCCCATTCGTTGAGGGCTTTCTTCATCACGAAATTCGCCTCTTTTCAGCGCATTCGCTCTGAAAGACTGTAAGGGTTTATGAATTTAAAAGTTTTATCGTATAGAATGAAGTTAATATGAACTAAAGTTTATGAAGCTTACAAAACGTTTTTTGTTTAGCAAGCTCGCCGTTCGCCTCCCGAAATCGATCGCTCCAGTCCGGCCCCGGTTTCGTCTCGTTTCAAAGGTTTTTATTACTACTTTTCAAGCGCTTTTGCATTTATAGATGCCTTGTCTAATTGCTACTTTAATAGTTAACGATAAAATTCATTATCTATTGTTTCTTGTTAAATTTTATTTTTAGTAATCTAAACGAAGAGCTCATTGAGGAACGTTTGAGGGATTCTAATTCGACAAGGGAAATTCTCGTCGCACTCGATGGAGGCGGGATCAAAGGAGCCGCCGAGATTATGGTTGGGGGTTTTAAAGAAGATTTTTTTAGCAAGCCTCCTTTAATATGATCCAAAATCTATAAAATTGGCGTAATTAGTTGGCCTATAAATGGAAGATTAGGCTATCCAGAAAGTCTTTTTGTACTTCCGTTCAAAACCAACAAATGCACCAATTGAACTGTTTCATTAGAAAGGCCAATTATTTTGCTGCAAAATAACATTAAAACAGGTTTTGTCAATGTATGGATTTTTTTGGAAGCGTGCAAAAAACGTGCAAAAACAATTTTTGGTTGCCCGTTTGTCTTTTGGTTGAAAGCCTCCAGAGAAATTCTTTCAGCCAATTTCTTCGTAGAGGTTTTTATAGATTTTTTCGAAAACACGTTTTCATTCTCGAATTTGTCTAAACCCTTTTTATTTAGAGGAAACCATAGGTTAATTGGTGAATTTGTTATTTTTCAAATACGAAAAGGAACTAAAAGACTTTCTGGACAGCCTAATATTATCCGCTTTAGGCTCTTCGAGAATTGTCTCTCCGCCTTTCATCAACTTCTCCATCAATCACTTCACTCTTCAAATCATTCGATTGGATTGGCGGAACGAGTGTTGGTGCGGTCATTGCTGCTTTTTCAGCTCCACGCCATCATGAAAATGGTTGGTTTTTTGACAAGCTAGACCATACATACAGTGGCCAAACAAAGTCTTACCTTCCAAAAAATTAGCAAATTGAGTATCCAAAAGTATTGGATTCAGCTCGTTTTTGTTTCATTAGATAAAACAAAGTTAGAAACTTATAATTAACAGAAAGTATACTCTTTACAAAAACTATTTATTTACGAAAAATAAAAAATGCAAAAAACAAAGCAAAAAAGTCCTGATACCTTTTCAAAAGTTATTTATTTCTAACAAAATTCAGTATCGAGTTGGGCCTCCTTTAGCTTTTATAATCTCCTGAAGTCGGTTTGGCATACTTGGGACCAATTTTTCCGTGGTTCGTTGTGAAATTGAGCTCCAAATAGACTGAACCTTGTCCCAAAGCTCATTTTTTTGACGCAAAGCGGACTCCTCGCAATTTTCGTTTGACATGTACCCATTAATGTTTAATAGGGTTAAAAAGGGAATTTGGGATTGATGCAACTTCGCAAACGATTCGAAATCGACTAAAATTTCACGACGACCTGCTCGTAAACCTTTGATGGCTCTTAGACACTGGAGGCTCCGTTTAGAATTCGCCCCCACCTACCAACATTGGTCGATCGATGACTGGAAACGTGTCTTGTGGAGTGATGAAACTAAGTTCAATTTGTTCAACAGTAATGGCAACTACACTATCAAGAGACCCACTGGAACACGATACAACTTGAAATACATTCAGCAGACTGTCAAAATCAATGGAGGAGGGATACTGTGTTGGGGCTGTTTTTCTTCAAACTTAGTCGGACCTCTAGTGCTCATAGATGTATTCATGGACAGTGTGAAATATCGGGATATGATGCAAAATGATATGCTTCCTTACGCAGATGTAGCAATGAGTCCAAACTGGCTGTACCAGCAGGTTGGGAATCTAAAACATACAAGTGAATTGATGTTGGGACGAAAACTGAAGATACTACCTGGGGTTTTCGTGAGATTGCTGGCTTCGGCTCAACAATGTCAATTTGCTGCGAACCTTATTAACCGGCTTGTAACCCTATTGTACATTTATGGGTACATGTCGAACGAAAATTGCGAGGATTCCGCTTTGTGTCAAAAAATGAGCTTTGGGACAAGGTTCAGTCTATTTGGAGCTCAATTTCACAACGAACCACGGAAAAATTGATCCCAAGTATGCCAAACCGACTTCAGGAGATTATAAAAGCTAAAGGAGGCCCAACTCGATACTGAATTTTGTTAGAAATAAATAACTTTTGAAAAGGTATCAAGACTTTTTTTGCTTTGTTTTTTGCATTTTTTTATTTCTCGTAAATAAATAGTTTTTGTAAAGAGTATACTTTCTGTTAATTATAAGTTTCTAACTTACAATTAACAATGTTGCTGTTTTATCGAATGAAACAAAAACGAGCTGAATCCAATACTTTTGGATACTCAATTTGCTGATTTTTTGAAAGGTATCAAGACTTTTTGACCACTGTATATCTAGGTCATAGGTGTAAAAGTTGACTATAATTTTAAAATTTTATTTTTTTAGGGTCTCAATCGCCGGATACAAACCTGTGGTCATTTCTTGCCGAAACCCGCGCCATCTTTGATCCGAAACTCAAGAAACCTTCTTTTCGAGGAGAGGTCTTTATTTTCTTAGAATTGATCTTAAAGATTAACTATACTCTAAAGTATAATTTGTTAACTTAAACATTCTCGATCCTTCCAAAGTTTTTCTTTAGCTTCTCCACAAATCTCTTCGCGAACATGTTGGAACGTCGCAGCTTGGCGATATCGAAGCAAAGTAAGGAATCGACAAGACTTTTAGTTTTAATTCGGTAATTCATGTTTTGTTCCAGATTCGTCTGCACATATGTTGATGGAGCCATGATACCACCGAGACTGCTCGTTTTTCGGTCTTACTTTTCAATGTTTTGCCTAAACTTTTATTTCCAGGAATTTCCCCATCGAAGTTCAGACAGACGAGGATCATCGGGAGGTGGAAATCGTCGACGCACTTATGGCATCAACGTTTGTTTTGTCGTTGTTGAACTTTATCATTTTTCCTTTATCGTTTTAGAGCGGCTCCCGTCTTCCCGTCTCTCCACTCGGTCTCTCCGATGGAGGAGTTCTCGCAAAGAATCCCAGTCTCGCCCTCTTGACTGAATATCATCGATTCTATGCGGTGAGCAAATGTTGTTTATGAATCATGTTTATTCTTTAGAAAGCCGCCCGCCATCCAACTCCTTCACTATTCCTTTCATTAGGCACTGGCTACAACGAGCCGAGACGCACAAGTGGAATTCATTTTGGAGATTTGCCGAAGAATCGCGTTTTCTTCGATCGGCGTAAGTTTTTATCAAGTGGACAGTTATTGGATCTTTAACTTTTTGAATCATTTCCATTTAGATTTTATGCGCACGACGAGGAATCTCTTTGACGTTTTTGTTAGCCAAGCGCGTGTATTTTTTTGTAAAATCTGGCGATTTCAATCATTTCATTTTAGTCAACAAGCAGCGACACAGCATGTCTTGATCAAGCAGCCGCTTGGTGTCTTGCTACGAGAAGTCCCTATTTTCGCATCAATCCGCCAAATATTGTAAGTTTGTTTTTCAATCGACTTGAAAAGAGTAAATAAATAATTGTATTCAATTTTAGAATCGTCTTTCATTGACATGTACTGATGCAAAGAAAGTCGCCGATTTTCTGTGGGGAGTCATGGTTTGTTTTTCGCGTTTTTATCAGCACTATAGTCTTTTAGAATCTAAAGATATCCAAATCCAATTCATAATAGCTTTTTACAGTACTCGCTGAGGTTTATCTCCGCACGACGGCTCGCCATGATCTCGATCAACTCGCCAGTTTCATCAAAAGGTTGAAATCTTAGCTTGAGAAGTAGTCTATTTGTTGACTTTCTTAAGCTTTATTGATTAAATGATTTGCATTCTAGAAACAATTTTCTTTTACCGTTTGTTATTATGGCTAAAATAAAAGTTCTTTATTACAATCAGGAAAATCTTAATGGAATTTATTTTTTTTACGGGTCGATCGCAGCTTCTTGGTGTTCCACCTAAAACAATGTGATGAGTAAAGTTCGAAACAAAGCTTTTAAAACGTACCTGACAAGCGTAGCATTTCTCCGTCAGCTCTGTCCAACACAATTTGCAATATGTGGCAGGGCATTGTTCACATTTGTGTGTTTGCCACGCGCGAAGATATGTCTAAAATTTGTGAAATGGAAAAAATAACCCGAAAAGCAACCTTACTTGACATAAGAAACACTCAAATGGCCTGTACAAATTGTCGACGATCACGCGGCGTATCAATGAGTTTTTCGCGAAACAGAAGCTAAAATAAAAGATGAATTTATTCACCATATCAAAAGCTTTACTACAAATCATCATCGTCCTCATCTTCCTCATCTTTCTCTCCTTTTCGTTCTTTTCGCCATTTGACGAAGAAAGCAATGCGTCGACGAGCCTCTTCACGAGCAATCAAACGATGTTTCAAACACTAAAAAGTCAAAGAATCATTATTGATTAAAATCAGTTAGCCTTTCATCTACATGCTCAGACTTTCAGATTCGAGATTCAGCAGACTGTCAAAATCAATGGAGGAGGGATACTGTGTTGGGGCTGTTTTTCTTCAAACTTAGTTCGATTCCTTTAAAACTTAAAATGTAAAAACGGAGTAAAAACTGAGGAAAAAAATAACATTTACGAATCAATTAAACCTTGATTTTGGCTAATATTGAACCATCTTCAGGGTAACATTAAACCATCGATCAGCCGCTTCCTTTGGTTTCTCCGTTGAAAAACGAACAGCTTCGAGTTTGAATGAAAATGAGTAGGCCTTTCGCTTGACTTTTGCTCCTAGAGAAACCAAAGAAAACGCTTGACAGAAACCAAAGAAAACGCAAAACGCGAGAAACGCTTGACTTTTGCTCCTTTTGCTCCTTTTGCTCCTTGATATCTTTTGAATAAAGGAATACATGAAAAAGATTCCAAGTAACGCAAGAAAGCAGAAAAAAAGAAATGCGGCCTTAAAACAAAGTCCCTTAATTTTTTAAGTGATTTTTCATGGAGTTGACATTTTAAAATTGAACAATAGTTGATTACATTCACATCTTCAAAATAGTTTTCTCAATTTGATTTCATTAATTCCATTCAGCTTCCTTTAAAACTTAAAAATGTAAAAACCGAGTAAAAAAATAACATTTAATAATCAATTGAACCTTGATTTTGGCGAATATTGAACCATCTTCAGGGTAACATTAAACCATCGATCAGCCGCTTCCTTTGGTTTCTCCGTTGAAAAACGAACAGCTTCGAGTTTGAATGAAAATGAGTAGGCCTTTCGCTTGACTTTTGCTCCTAGAGCTTTTTGAATTCGGCATTACCCAAGAAAGAAAAATTAGTAACGCAATAAAATCTGAAGAAAATCAGAAAAAAACTACACTTTCGGGTTGACTTCTTATTTCGGATACAATAATTTTAGCGAAAAATAGAAAAGAAGTGATACTTCGAATAAAAGATCGGTGTTATATTCAACCTGGTCTTCTCTTTTTTCGATCACCCTCTAGATCTCGTCTTCTATTCAAAGAAATACGGTAGACTAAAGTAAACAATAAACAAAACAAACCAAATTCTCGGACGATAATTCCGGTTGATCACGCCATTTTCGGACCAATTTTCGTTTTCATCACCAACTCGGCTCATCGGGGTGCACTACTATTAGAGAAAATACGGTAATTAAAAACTTACCTTATTTCCTGTTTATCATCGTAGTCTTTACTAAACATTGAGGCAAATGGAGTGCTTCTGATTCCATAGTGGCATCTTCTATTTTTCATGAGTTAATGTAAATCTTCATTTCGGCACTTTATTATTGAATAAAGTATTCATATATAAAAACAAAAATATGACTACTCAGATACTTCACTGGTACTACAGTTTATCGCAAAAGAGCTGAAATTTGTCTTCCGTTTTTCCATTAAATTATTTCGAGTCAAATATTATTAGGAAAAAAAGGAAAAAAAATGTATGATTCTAGGAAAAAAATTCTTTTTGAATTGAATCATTTTCCAGACACCACATAGACCTTTAAATTCCAAATTTCAACTTTCAACTTTCAAATTGACTACTTTATTTTCTCCATAGATTTTTTGATGACTATTTGATCAACTTCTCGTTTTTATACTAAACTTTCTCTTTTTACAATTCACATTTCATAAAATTTGCTTTTTAGTTGACTGTAAATGAAGAAAGAATTCGTTTTCTTGTTTGTGGCTTCACTGAAACGAATTGTGACAGCAAATGAAGGTCCGTTTGTTTCGATCGATTACTTTGTTCTTTTTTTGTTACCCAACTCGTCTACTGGCTCTTTTTTTAGAATGGATGCAAGAGTGCAAGAACCAGAGTGAAAACATTCAAATTCATTCGGCTGATGGCAACTGGAGAAACCTTACGAGCGATGAGACGTCTAAGTAAGCGTGTTTCGTGAAAACTTTCCCGGGCTCCGCCCGGTGAAAACCTTGATGAGCTTGGACTCGATCAAGGCTTGCCCGCAGCTATGGTCCGGCCCTTGGCTCAAGGCTTTTTGGTCGCTAGAGACAACTCTTCTCATTTTATCTTCATCACTCAATTACAGTCAATATTTTTGGATCGAACGAACGTTCACGTGCACTGCTGATCCAGACCATTTCGCGCTTGTTCGAGTGGGAGTTTCTTTTTCAGTTTATCCTCAAAAATGTGTTTCAGATCAACCACAACATGGATTTTCCGTCAGAAACAAAAACTATCACTTGTGGATCGCGGCGTAAATGGATGTACAAAGGTGAAGTCGTTTTCAATGTTGGATGCTACACAGGCACACGGGTGAGTTTTTCCGTATAGTTAAAGGTATTGCGAAAAAAAGTTATTAGTAAATCCACGAGAGGCAGCAGGGACAAGAAGCTTTTAGGCAGATTGGATCCAAAAGTCCGAAGAAGAGGAAAGAATTCGAAATTGGATGGGCGAGCATCACGGAGCTAAAGAGGATCAAAAGGATTGGACATGGGGCAGCACCCAGTATGAACAACAAAAGAAAATGCAGCGAATGGCTTCCGAAATCCAAAATCTTTTGGTTAACACCGATAATATGTAAGTTTTAGCTTACGATCAATGCGAAAAGGGTTCTTTTCCGTTATACATCCGCGAAAATCAACCCTCGATCATTTCCCTCGATCACGTTATGAAGCTATTGCTCAATCAGAATCTCCAATGCAGATGCGACAAAACGTCCTGCTGGACAGCGATCGACCTGAGTGTTGGCTCATGGATCCAGAGCACCAAAATTCCGTCTCTCACAATCCTACGATTATGGATGGACTCAACAGTGAACCTCGATCAACTATTGTGCGAAAGAATTGGAGATGAATCACCGCGGTCGACTTCAACAACTAGGATTCTTTGCGTGGAATATCTGGTGAACAAGCTGAGAGGAAAAATTAGAGAACCCAATCGAATCGACGAAGTGGACGAGGCTCTCTTCTCGAAGCGAAAGGCGAACGTGGGCCGAATCTGGCCGCAAGTGTGGATATTTAGAGGAGTTTGCCGGGAAACCAAAGAATGTTTTCTTTTCGAGGTGACCAACCATATTGGAAGCGATGATTGAACACATCGAGCCGGGAACCTAAATTGACTCCCATTGTTGGCGAGGATGCAATACTGAACAGACGGAGGAGGCCGGCTTTACCCATGCTCGTGTCAATAAGTACAACAAGTATGGAGAAACAAGAAGCATCGCGGCACGTCATTTCCTACCGAACTACCTCGCTGAATCCATGGTTCGACGAGAAGTGGGAAAGGACGATTTCTACGAATGGGTGTTGCAACAAATTGCTACGGCATGGATTGATCCTCATTCATTCCTCATTGATTAATAATCAGGGTTTATTTTTGTGAATGTATAACGGAAAGGAACCGCGAAAAGTTTCTGAATAAAACTTTGACTTGCAATGTTTTCTGTAATTTTCAGAATCAGGAAGCAAGTCGCCGTTGTACCGGCAGACTATGTGAATGCTTTTTGGGAAGGATGGTCTTTCTCAGAGGACAACTACTACATGAGAACGGGTTTCTTTGGCTTTGAAGACGATAACTCTGTGCTGGAATTTGAGAATTATGTGATATTTGTGTTTCGTGGTGGCTTTCGGCTTCCGGAGAGATCAAAGCCTGATACAAGAGAAGAAATCAGGTCAGACGAGGATTTATTAGGCTGGCTAATAAGTAATGGTGGAATTGCTGGGAGCTGGTCTCAAACTTGACCAATCTTTGGTCTTATTCGAAAGCTGTATTCAAGAGGAACACAGTAGCGAAGACCATTTGTTGATTCGTTCCGTTTTCAAATTTTTATAAGCATTTAAGTGTTACTCAGTCAGCTTGGTACCCAAAAAGTGTCAAATCACATTTCAGGATCACTAAGTTTAGCTGGCCGGTTTGGCGACTCGTTGATGCGAGAGTCGAGGGTTCGACTCCTACCTGTGACCAAATTTTGAACTTTTTTGCAAAAAGACCAAGCAAGGAGATGCCACAAAATGGTCTTAGCAGATATTGACGCCGTTGGAATGCAAACGCCAAGTGGACACGGTGAATCCGATGCTGTATTCAGTTTTTGTCCATATTCAAAAACACACAGGAAAAACGCATCCAAAGCTTGGGTGTCTACTCGGGAAAATCGTGCCGCGGAAACAAACATATTTTTAACCGAAAAATTGACGAAATGTGGTTTTGACACTTTTTTCGGTCTGACCGAGCTCACTTAAATGCTTATAAAAATTTGAAAACCGAACGAATCAAAAATGGTTTTTGCTACTGTGCTCCTATTGAATAGAGCATTCGAATAAGATCAAACACGTTAACTTTGGTTTGGTTTGAGACCATCTGTCAGTCAATCCGTCATTACTTGTTGGCCAGCCTAATATATGGGCTAGCTTGTTATGATGAAGGTCGGGCCGCAAACCCAAATACTTTTTCAAAAAATTCAATTAAAGGGGTTCTTGAACAGTTATGAATACTTATAAATAAAAAATGTAATTTTGACCTAAAAAATAAAATCAAAAGTACGTTAGGGTCAGGCCGAGATCGGCCCTGGCTTTTTCAACCCTGTTTACAATGGTTTGAAAAACTTTACATTTCTTTGCTTTAAAACTTAAGCTGGCGATCACTGGTCAGAGTCAGAATTGAGATAATACTTTATTTTAGTCGTTACTTTCAAGACACTTCGAAATCGCGAGAACGACATGACGGGATCCAATCACTAGCAGTGCATTTATGGAGTTGTGGTGGTTACTGGGAAGAACGCGGCGACATTGTGACTGTTTTTCGAAAAGGAGCAAATCACAGAACGTGCACTTATCTCTATGGAGCATCTGGTGATTGGATGATTACTGAGGTGAAGACGTGGAGTCGGCCATGTCTACTTGGATGTGGAGATGTTTGTGTTGTGCATTTAACGGCTTGATATCTTTTGAATAAAGGAATACATGAAAAAGATTCCAAGTAACGCAAGAAAGCAGAAAAAAAGAAATGCGGCCTTAAAACAAAGTCCCTTAATTTTTTAAGTGATTTTTCATGGAGTTGACATTTTAAAATTGAACAATAGTTGATTACATTCACATCTTCAAAATAGTTTTCTCAATTTGATTTCATTAATTCCATTCAGCTTCCTTTAAAACTTAAAAATGTAAAAACCGAGTAAAAAAATAACATTTAATAATCAATTGAACCTTGATTTTGGCGAATATTGAACCATCTTCAGGGTAACATTAAACCATCGATCAGCCGCTTCCTTTGGTTTCTCCGTTGAAAAACGAACAGCTTCGAGTTTGAACGAAAATGCGTAGGCCTTTCGCTTGACTTTTGCTCCTAGAGCTTTTTGAATTCGGCATTACCCAAGAAAGAAAAATTAGTAACGCAATAAAATCTGAAGAAAATCAGAAAAAAACTACACTTTCGGGTTGACTTCTTATTTCGGATACAATAATTTTAGCGAAAAATAGAAAAGAAGTGATACTTCGAATAAAAGATCGGTGTTATATTCAACCTGGTCTTCTCTTTTTTCGATCACCCTCTAGATCTCGTCTTCTATTCAAAGAAATACGGTAGACTAAAGTAAACAATAAACAAAACAAACCAAATTCTCGGACGATAATTCCGGTTGATCACGCCATTTTCGGACCAATTTTCGTTTTCATCACCAACTCGGCTCATCGGGGTGCACTACTATTAGAGAAAATACGGTAATTAAAAGCTTACCTTATTTCCTGTTTATCATCGTAGTCTTTACTAAACATTGAGGCAAATGGAGTGCTTCTGATTCCATAGTGGCATCTTCTATTTTTCATGAGTTAATGTAAATCTTCATTTCGGCACTTTATTTCTGAATAAAGTATTCATATATAAAAACAAAAATATGACTACTCAGATACTTCACTGGTACTACAGTTTATCGCAAAAGAGCTGAAATTTGTCTTCTCTTTCTTCCATTAACTTCTTTTGAGCGATTTATTAAATGGGAAAAAGAAAAAATGTATGCTTCTATCAAAAAAATTGTTTTTGAATTGAATCATTTTCCAGACACCACATAGACCTTTAAATTCCAAATTTCAACTTTCAACTTTCAGATTGACTACTTTATTTTCTCCATAGATTTTTTGATGACTATTTGATCAACATAGACCTTTAAATCAGAAAATAGAAATTTGATGAGAAAATGAAGTCGTCAAATCAAATTCCAAAGTCTTAGTATTTATTTCAACAACTTTTCGTTTTTATACTAAACTTTCTCTTTTTGCAATTCACATTTCATAAAATTTGCTTTTTAGTTGGCTGTAAATGAAGAAAAAATTCGTTTTCTGGTTTGTGGCTTCACTGGCACAAGTTGTGACAGCAGATAAAGGTCCGTTTGTTTCGATCGATTACTTTGTTCTTTTTTTGTTACCCAACTCGTCTACTGGCTCTTTTTTTAGAATGGATTAACCAATGCTACAGCCAGGGTGAAAAAAAATCGTCATTCATTCGCCTGGTGGCAATTGGATAAACTTTTCGAGCGATGTGACGTCTCAGTAAGAGTTGTTTCGTGAAAGATTTTCCGGACCCGGCACGGTCAAAGCCTTAATGAGCTTGGACTCGATCAAGGCTTGCCCGCAGCTATGGTCCGGCCCTTGGCTCAAGGCTTTTTGGTCGCTAGAGACAACCCTTCTCATTTTATCTTCATCACTCAATTACAGTCAACGGTATGAGGTCTATCGAAAGTTCACGTGCACTGCTGATCCAGGCCATTTCGCGTTTGTTCAAGTAGGAGTTTCTTTTTCAGTTTGTCCTCAAAAGTGTGTTTCAGATAAACGACCAGATGGATTCACCGTCAGACACAAAAACTATCGGTTGTGGACAGAAGCGTAAATGGTTGCACAAAGGTGAAGTCGTTGTCACTGTTGGATGCTACACGGGCCCACGGGCAAGTTGCTTTGCAAATGGGTTTAGTTAAAGGTATTAAAGGTAGCCAAGCATTTGAAAATTTTCTCGAGACAGCAAGCTTTAGGCAAATTGGATCCAAAAGCCCGAAGAAGAGGAAATCTGAGTAGGGAAACAGCTTGCCTACTAGTTTTACCCCTCCTCATAACCTGTAACTACTTGCTGACAGCACTTTGAAGAAACATTGAAAATGTATGATTTTTTGGAGGTAGAAAGTCGGGTAGTCAAAAAGGCGACGGCTCGATGATACGGCCTAGTCAGTTTAGCTAGAAACCTATCTTGGTGTCAATAGATAAAAGAAGAACACAAAAAGTTAGGTATTTAGCCAAATTTTCAGAGAAATCGAGTTGTTCTTCTTGGCCGTCCTTTCTTCTTTCTTCGGTGCATAAGTCCAGTTGTTTTTTTGCTGTTTAAACAATGCGAGAAACGGTCGAAGGATCGCATTTGAAGAGATCGGAGACAACGGCTCGAGAAATTCCTTTTTTTCTTGCTTTCATGATTTTTTTCTCTTTCGGGAGTCGTCAAGTAGGTACCTGGCATCTGAAAAAACAAAAATTAGTGTAAATTAATAAATTTGAAAACAATAAATATGAGAAACATAGAATGTTGCAAGACTTTTGCACCCAGTTTTTAGGGTATTTGTTAGTAGTTTTGTCATTTACTTTTTTGTTTTACGCTGAACTTCAAATTTGTTTTTGTAAATAAAGTGTACATGTATTATTCTAATTAAAAACAAAAAAGCCCTACGAACGGGTGGCATTTCTATAAAAAAATTTCATCGATTTTTTTGAAAAAGTTATGTTGCAAGACTTTTGCTCGGTACTGTATTTCTTCAGGTGACGTTCTTTTGGAAAAGTTCTTTCTGAAAAACACAAAATTAAGTACCAAGAACAATAAAAACAAGTTTTAGTTTTCAAGTTTTAAGTTTCAAGTTTTAGTTTTCTCTAACTAATGCGTGTCGAATTTAAGGTTTGTTTTTGCTTTCTTTCTTTTGTTTTTCTCAAAACTTGCAGCTTTTTTCAGAAAGTCGTCAGCGCCTACTCGTTGAGGGCTTTCTTCATCACGAAATTCGCCTCTTTTCAGCGAATTCGCTCCGAAAGACTGTGAGGGTTTATGAATTTAAAAGTTTATCGTATAGAATGAAGTTAGTTACGACTAAATTTAGTTACGAACTAAAGTTTATGAAGCTTACAAAACGTTTTTTGTTTAGCAAGCTCGCCGTTCGCCTCCCGAAATCGATCGCTCCAGTCCGGCCCCGGTTTCGTCTCGTTTCAAAGGTTTTTACTACTACTTTTCAAGTGCTTTTGGATTTATAGCTGCCTTGCCTAATTGCCACTTTAATAGTTAACGATAAAATTCATTAAAACATTGATCTTGATCATTTTCAGGCATCCGACATCTCGCTGAAAGAAATCCTCTCACGAGATGCTGCCGGTGAAATACTCGAGCGATTCTGCAAAGGTTATTTGTTTTATTTTTCAAACTTTGCCTTTTGTTTTAGATCAAAACTTTCTCAAACAAACAGACGATGAAGGGAACACGATGCTACACCTGGTTATCAAGGTGGTCTTATTAATAATGAGTATATAGGTAGTTAGTTGTAAAGTAGCTTAAAGTAACTTTTGAAGTAACTATTCCCGTCTGTGGCTGTAAAATCCGGAACTGAGACGAAGAAATTCCGAGACGCTGTTTTTGGTTGTCAGGCTTTTTTCTTTAATCGGTGCATTTCCACGTTCTTTCATCCGATTGCAGAGCCTCCATATTGTCATCTTCGAAACGGAGAAGAGTTTTTGAATCACACTGACTTTGAGTCCAACTTTTTGAGCTTCAACGATTCGCTCCTTTGTGGGACCGTCGATGTATTGCTTGCACGGCATCTCTAAAAGAAACAATATCAAAAATTAGCAAAGCTCTAACGTAAAAAAAAACAGGAGAAAAAAGAGAAAAGGTATCAAGACTTTTTGCTTTGTTTTTTGCAGTTTTTTATTTTTCGTAAATAAATAGTTTTTGTAAAGAATATACTTTCTGTTAATTATAAGTTTCTAACTTTGTTTTATCTAATGAAACAAAAACGAGCTGAATCCAATACTTTTGGATGCTCAATTTGCTAATTTTTTGGAAGGCATCAAGACTTTTTTGACCACTTTGACCATGTATGTCTAATTTGTCAAAAAACCCAACCATTTTCATGATGGCGCGGAGCTGAAAAGGCAGCAATGACCGCACCAACACTCGTTCCGCCAACCCAATCGAATGATTTGAAGACTGAAGTGATTGATGGAGAAGTTGATGAAAGGCGGAGAGACAATTCTCGAAGAGCCTAAAGCGAATAATATTAGGCTGTCCAGAAAGTTTTTTAGCTCCTTTTCGTACTTCCGCTGAAAAATAACAAATTCACCAATTAACCTATGGTTTCCTCGAAATAAAAAGGGTTTAGACAAACTCGAGAATGAAAACGTGTTTTCGAAAAAATCGATAAAAACCTCTACGAAGAAATTGGCTGAAAGAATTTCTCTGAAGGCTTTCAACCAAAAGACAAACGGGCAACCAAGAATTGTTTTTGCACGTTTTTGCACGCTTCCAAAAAAATCCAGACATTGACAAAACCTGTTTTAATGTTATTTTGCAGAAAAATAATTGGCCTTTCTAATGAAACAGTTCAATTGGTGCATTTGTTGGTTTTAAACGGAAGTACAAAAAGGAACAAAAAGACTTTCTGGATAGCCCAATCTTCCATTTATAGGCCAACTAATTACGCCAATTTTATAGATTTTCAATCATATTAAAGGAGGCTTACTAAAAAAATCTTCTTTAAAAGCCCCAACCATAATCTCGGCGGATCCTTTGATCCCGCCTCCATCGAGTGCGACGAGAATTTCCCTTGTCGAATTAGAATCCCTCAAACGTTCCTCAATGAGCTCTTCGTTTAGATCACTAAAAATGAAATTTAACAAGAAACGATGGATATAAAACTAATAGTAAGCTGGTACTATCTAAAAGCTAGCACAAGGGACAACCATTGAGCAGCCAACTCACCTCATCCAAAATTTCGACTCGCGCTCGATGGGAGAGTTGGAAGTTAAAATGCGCAAATCGTCGGCGATTCTAAAAGACAAAAATTTAAGAAAGATATTCATTGCTTACTCAGATTGTTCATTCATTTGAATGGGCGTCTCTCCGTGAGAATTTCGACTTAGCCACGGTTCATCACAAGCATTCAATGTGCAAATGAGACGAGCACATCGACGAGCGTTCAACTAAAAAAGCACAATTTATATTCAACATGTTAGGCAATCTGTTAGCGCACAGCTCTAAAAGTGCGCTTTAAACTGCCTTACAACTAACTACCTATATACTCATTATTAATAAGACCACCTTGATAACCAGGTAGCATCGTGTAGCATCGTGTTCCCTTCATCGTCTGCTTGTTTGAGAAAGTTTTAATCTAAAACAAAAGGCAAAGTTTGAAAAATAAAACAAATAACCTTTGCAGAATCGCTCGAGTATTTCACCGGCAGCATCTCGTGAGAGGATTTCTTTCAGCGAGATGTCGGATGCCTGAAAATGATCAAGATCAATGTTTTAATGAATTTTATCGTTAACTATTAAAGTAGCAATTAGGCAAGGCAGCTATAAATGCAAAAGCGCTTGAAAAGTGGTAATAAAAACCTTTGAAACTAATAAAACCTAATAAAAACCTTTGAAACGAGACGAAACCGGGGCCGGACTGGAGCGATCGATTTCGGGAGGCGAACGGCGAGCTTGCTAAACAAAAAACGTTTTGTAAGCTTCATAAACTTTAGTTCGTATTAACTTCATTCTATACGATAAAACTTTTAAATTCATAAACCCTTACAGTCTTTCGGAGGGAATTCGCTGAAAAGAGGCGAATTTCGTGATGAAGAAAGCCCTCAACGAGTAGGCGCTGACGACTTTCTGAAAAAAGCTGCAAGTTTTGAGAAAAACAAAAGAAAGAAAGCAAAAACAAACCTTAAATTCGACACGCATTAGTTAGAGAAAACTAACGAAGTTTGAAAGAATTGAAAATCTATAAAACGTAATTTTAAAAAGTTTGTTACATACAAATTGTTGAATGGTTACGATAACGCTTAGCACGAGCAGGAACCTAGACAAAACAGCGCCGATACAAAAATAGCCAAAAATTTGAAAAAGACTACGATTAGATTTTTCGACTCCAATGTTTTTATACATAACAACGTGTAACTTTTGTTATTTTTTAAATGTTTTTAAGCACCTTGTGCGTGTTTTGACAAACCGACGGAATATTTGATCATCAGAATCATGTTTTATGGCTCATTTTAAATAAACAATGCGGCACATTTTGTTTTTCATCTTTTTTTCTTGTTTTTACTGTTCTTGGTACTTAATTTTGTGTTTTTCAGAAAGAACTTTTCCAAAAGAACGTTACCTGAAGAAATAGAAGCCTTCTACTCTTCAACGACAACGAAGAACAAAATGTGCCGCATTGTTGGGGGTGGAACAAATGCGACCTTTTTTTGACTGGAAAAGGCCTTAGGAAAGGCCGTAGAGCTTCAAAAATGTTTTCCTGAAAGGGAATTGTATGGGTAGATTCCGAATTTCGACAAATCAAAATTTGGGCTAAAAGGCAAAAACTGCGGGAAAGCGTTAAGTTGCGTAGTTTTTGCCTTTTAGCCCAAATTTGACGTGTCACCGAGGTCAGATTTGTCGAAATTCGGAATCTACGCATACGATTCCCTTATCTGGAACATTTTTGAAGCTCTATGGTCTTTCCTAAGGCCTTTTCCAGCAAAAAAAAAGGTCGCATTTGTCCCACCCTCCTAAATACCAGTTTTTCTGTGCAAACTTATGAAATTTATGAATTTATGAAAGATTTATGAAACGCGAGTATCTTTTGTGTGCATCTCAAACAAGATTTTTAAGAAAAAAACTGCATAAATTTTAATTACCATACATAAATATAATTACCATACATAAATAAAGTCATCACTTTCATTCGGGTAACCAAAATAAAAAAATTCTCATTTCTTGATGTTGCGTCTTCGTAGAGTCGTCCTTTCCATCGCCTTCTTTGTTTTAGTTTTTTGGGGCTGAGCGTATCACATATCGACCAATTGGAGTCCCAGTTTGGAAACGAGTTCGTTGAATTTAAATATTTTCACACTTGAGCTTGTTTTCTTGTGGCTTTGATCAAAGTTACATCTATTTTTTTAGATCTCTAATCATCTGATCTACGATTTTCCACCCGACAACGATGGTTTGCCCGATTCGATTTATCGAGGAGACTTATCCAGGTAATTTATTAGTGGAGTAAATTATAATTGCTAGTTCTTTGTTTAGTTATCCGTCAGATGCATTGAATTCGCATTCACCTTATGGGCCAACGATGGACATTGAATCTGAGGATGAGGTAGATAAAATGATTTTCATTGAGTGGAGTGCTGTGCTGCTGGTCGTTGTTATATGTATTTTATTTAGGATGAAACATTTCGAGAGTTCTTTGAAGATTACCACCTTCGCCACTTCTCCACATTTCTCAAGAACGGTGATGAGCATTTTGCTGAAAACGTGATAAGGTAAATTTTGCTTTGTTTCAATTAAAATTACTTTAGTTGCGCAAATTACCCGAAGAGTGATCTTCTTTATGGGGTATTTCGAATTAAGCAAGTAAGTTTTCTCTCATAAAATAGGATTTGATCTTTTTATACTAGGCCTATGTAAATCGAGGCGTTGGTTTTGAGTTACCACCACCAGAGCTCTGCGGAAATGACAAACGACCCAAGAAGCTTTTCAGAATTGATGCACAAATGTGAGTTTTTATACTTTTACAGCATAAAACTTCATTTTTAGCACATCTGGGCAATCATTTCTTCACACGTTAAAGGCTATTGGTTTATTTTAAAAGAGTTAGCAACTGGAAATTTTTATTTTAGCTGATGGCATTACGAAAAACGAGACGATAAAAGGCAATCCGATGATTTCCTTCACGAAACCAAAAAGAGATGGATTTGTTCACCCGATTGGAGCGTTTATGGCCTATGGGATACATGAGAAATACGATGTAGAGGGTTGGTTTTGCGCAATGGGTAAGCCCGATAACTGCTTTATTTTAGAAAATGCTGTCTCTGACTATGCTCGAATGCAAAATGGAAATATGTTCTTTGCTTTTCGAGGTAAAATATTAAAGAAACCTTTTGTTGTTAAAGTAGTTTTAGGTTCTCAAGAAAATGATCGATTTGCTTATTCACATGCCACTTTTTTATGGACCGCGGTAGAGTTTAAACTTCTGGCGTTTAGTTTTATTTTTCTTGTTTAGGAAGAAACAGTACTGGTTGGAGACAAGAAAGTCACAAAACAGGTAAAGGTGTAAAAGCTAACTCGTGTAATATATGTAGTAAAGTTTATTATTTAGATTCCGCTTCCATTCATCTACAACGTTGACTTCTTACTACACGAAAAGGATCAAATGAATTCGGAACCGATAACCAGTGATGAGATCCTGGATATAATCAATCATAAACCGAAACAGTAAGCGCTTCCGTTTATTTTATCTTTGAAGCTTTTTAGGATGTCTCTTGGCGGTATTCGTTTGGAGTTAAAATGGGATTCGTGGTCTTGTTGTAGTGCTTGTTGTGACAAACTGGATTGGGAGAGTTGGCATGCTACAAATTGGTAATTAATTTATCTTTTTTCATCTTTGTTTTTGTTTAGTCACGATGTCCTGAGCTACCGTACTCGTCGGGGACTTTACCATTTTACAAAAGTAAGCACTTTTGAGCGTTTTAAAAATGTTCAAAATATTCAGATAAATGACGCAGAGTTGAGAAAAAATGACTCGAAGGAGTTGCCGATTTATTCGATGTAAAACCGTACAAGTATTTATTCGATTTTTATGACTACCATCATACTTTTTAGAACAACAGGAATTCCTGTGGCTTCATCGATTTGGAAAGTGTTTCCAAAAATGTGGAAACGAATGAACAAGGTTTATTCTGAAAAATCCTTTGATCTTTTGTTTTCAGCTATTCAAGTTATCGACAGAAGAAATGTCGTTCGTGTGGAAACAAGTTTTTGAGGTTTTTGTTGACCATTTGGATTTATTGATTGCAAACTTTTTTAGATGGCCGACTGTGCAAAGGATAATCAAAAGAAAAATTGTACGGCGTGGGACATTTGCCATGGAATCGATCGTAAAAATATTCCAGTAAGTTTTTTATACTTTGCTTTACGCTTTTAGTCATGCATTAAATTTTTAAGATGCTGGTTTTTAGAGGGTGCAAAACGACGTAATCGACCCATGTAGTGGACTCGAGATTATGGTATTTGATGGGAGCTTACCCGAGAACATTTGAACACGTTTAGGAGTTTAAAGCGAACGCGGAGAAAATGGAGCTCATTGTTGAAGAGGGTGCCGTCTACAGAATTGTTATTGATTTTGATCACTACGAGCAAGAACCAATGGAAGTGAGGATATAAATTTTAGAAATTAAATGGAAATTTATTAATCAATCGATGTACCAAAGTATAATAAATGATTAACACCAATATTTATAGCTTCTTTTTCTTTTCTATTTTCTACTTTAGGTATCTTGGACGAGAACCGCTCAAAAAGTGAATGATATGGAAATTGATGATTCGTGTGAGGAAATACAAACACTTTATCGACATCCAAATAAGCGGTAACCAGCCAATTCGAAATATATATCTGTTTGCTTAGAGATTTACTTGTGCCTTCTATGCTTCACCTAAAGAAAAGCATTTCTGTGGATGCTCGATGGGGAGTGAAAAATAAACTTCGAGTAACGATAACGTTGAAGGAGTAAATTTTATTTAAATACTTGATTGATCTTGTTTAGAGTACCTAAAGAGTTCGAGTCACCAGTGCTGAAGATCGTTTTGATTGTTGGTCTCATCCTCGGTAGGTTTAAAGCTTAGTACAGCTTGAATAAAATAGTACTTCTTATTTTAGGACATTTCTTTCTCATCAGCGTTTTTTGCTTGCTGAGTTGCATTACGGAAATGTGTTACGAGAGGGGTCGAAAGAAGATTTCCGAGGAAAATGAAAATCCCAAATGATTTTCGAGATTATGATCTTATTTTTATGTAAATAAAGGACTCTTTGAAACTTTTGCATAAACAGGAACAAATTCAAACAAGGAAGTCATTAAATGACTTGAAATTTCCGCTTTCTGACTTTAGGGTTGTTTAAAGTTGTGCGGGGAGACTGATTGCTTTGGAAACGAGTTTTCCTCAAGTACGGGAAAACTTTTTGCCACCGATTTTGGGAAAAAGTGCGATCTCTTCCCGGTCTGACATTTGACGTTTTCGGCTATCCCTATATAAAAACGCTACAGGATAAGTGATGTACGTGCACGAGGAAAGTCAACACCAATTATTGCCGATTTGGATTCACTTGAGACATCCTCCCCCAAATCATTCCTTTATAAGAGAATTCGTTTGGCTGAAGAGAGTCAAATTTTACCTTCAACACTCCTGTAAACATGTTATTTCTTTTGAGTTTCTGGCTAGTCGTCTTGCAAATCAGGTAAGTAGTCAACTTTGTAAAATTAGTCCTTTAAAAACTAATGCCTGTTTTAGTGCTGAAGATTTGTGGAGGAGAGATCTGTTCCTTGGGAGAAGCTCGTCTACCGACAATGAGCAAACGCATGGAGTCAGTGGGATTGCTATGGTAAGTGTATATGAAGGGAAATAAGAGTCCGGTTATACCTAAACACAAGATACCTAATCAACTATCTTACAATTAGTCTGGATATCTAATCATTGATTGAAATTTCAGAATCGACAAGGCACCCCATTCACCATTCATGCACCCGACCCGAGTGCTTTCCTCGGATTTGTGCGTCTTAAAACTTTAACTAGCTGCTGTACATTGTTACTTATCTAAATTAAAATTTTAGGTCTCACCAAATCGTTTACCCGCTTCACCCTTGGCAGCTACAATGGAGACATCGTTTGGTATTCGATCGACTCCATTAACCAGCGTCCAATCACCCGATGAGCCCATTCCTAGCTATATGCCTCAATACAATGATCTCAGCCCGTTCAACCCATTGAATAGAGGTGAGCTCAGGGAAATATTTGAATTGTCTGCCTAAATGATAACAAGTTAAATAACCCTACAATTAATTTAGGCCCATTTTTTTGCTTTCCACGGACGTGCCTCGCCCACTTCTTTAGAGTGGCTCACAAAGCACTTGAAGTTGACGAAAAACATCGATGCCCTTGGAAGACACACGGAGAAAATTTTGCCCAACGTTGAGGACCAAGAAACCGTCTTTGATCCAAAGTCATTCATGCCACAAAGTCCCACCCAATTGTTCAGGTTTTAAAAGCTTTAAAGCATTTTGTACATAACCCCCTCTCATGTATAAAGTTTAATAAATAACAATTCGAAAACAACAATGCAAACGTTATACAACAAAAAGATATTTCTATTCCTCATCGAGGTCTTAACAATGTGAAAATTGTACAAACCAAACATTAAAATTCGTGCGCCCATCATTACACTCGGGGCTTTCCTTGGCCAGCTTTTTTGAAACGTTTTGCGTCCTCAATTCGCAGATCGCTTAGTGAAGGTTGGACTTGTTTCTTGTCTAAAAAAGATGTCATTTAAAAATTCACGTACCAAAACTTACTTTTGTAACCCTTCCACACTTCGCTCAATGCCGACGCTCTGGTCGAATCAGTTTTTACCACATCGGGGATCTAGAAAAAAAAGGAGTAGCAACAAACCCAAAGAATCTTACATTGAGCATTTTTCTGACTGCGGGAACCTTGAAGAACCCAGCGTAGAAGAGTGAGACGATATTTGAAGCACACCAATATACACAAAGACCCTGAAAATTGTTGTTTAAAAACTCGTAATCGTAAAACTTTTAAAGAATTCTCACCGCAGTTTTTCACAAAATAAGAAATTATTCAATTAGGCAGTTAGGTATATGTAAAACTAGCAAATACTTACTGATGCAAATTGGCTTGAAGAGATGAGAATAATAACCGGCAATCCATATTGCATTCCAAGGCGCATCCAAGGGGTCATCTGATCGGCCGATGCACCGCTCTCAATTCCTACCTAAAAATAGATTTAATTTGTTTAATCCAATTCAATGAGAAAACATATTACCAAAACTTACTCGCATAACCATAGCCATTGTGGCAGCTGAAATCACCGGTAGAGCCCAATACGGATCGCAAGATGTGAGATCGGTGAACCATAAAGCACCACCAGTGGAAAATCCCGGATAACTGACCTAAACAAATGTAGATAATAAAATAAACCGACAACTAAAACAAACCGCTGCCATTTTCCGGATTGCTAAAAATTGGGTCATGAAAATACCACCATTCACAAGCATGATCCCCAATTGGCGTCCCATTTTGATATCCTGCATAGGTAGTAATAGATAAAATAAAGATTTTAGCTTTCCTCCCACCTTTGCTTTGTAGAAATCCCTCTGTTCTAGTAAGATTTGGTGAACTAAAATTAGCAGTTTATTTGTAAAATTGCATCACGTACTTGCTAGATTGTCCCCTTCTCTCCTGGCATCTTCTATTCGATTTCTGTATACACAGCAATATGAGGCAAAATTATCAAAAACTCACCGAAAAGCGTCAAGTTCTTTCTTGTACTTGGATTGCTTGGCGACGAGTTTCTGTGACATAATCGGCACCCCGATAAGTGCTAACCGCAAGAGAATGGTTGCTAAAACAAATAATTTTGAAATTCTAAAGTCTACTTACTGCAAACAATGGCAGACCACCAGGGAACGTCTAGATGAACGTGAATTGATTCAAGGGCCCATCGAAAATACGAGCTCGGCTTCCACCACGACCACAAGCCTAATTCTTGTAGCACGGATTCACCTAAAATTATCGTATATTTATATTTTATATAGCGTTTTGATATGTTTTTGCATTTTGTTTATGTTTTTATGCTGTTTGCGTCTATTTTCTGTTGTTGTCTTACAGATGTAGTCAAGCTTCTGCCTTGATTGCAAGAACAAATAGATTTTTTCCATGTTTTGTTTAGTTGTTGTGTTTTTATTGTTTGTTTAAGATTTAGTTTTATCAATTTGTCTACTATTTTATTGTTTATGATTCTTTGGGCTTTATTACCGTAAATACTGTAATAGTACCCCATCCCCCTCGTACAGTCGCGTAGTCGCAAAGGTTTTTTTAGTATTTCATTTTTTTCAAAGCACCCGTACTTTTAAAAAACGCGTCTTTGGTATCAAAAAATAGCTGAAATTCAGGGCTATTTTTTGATACCTAAGCGCGCATTGTAGCATAAAGCAGTGTCGAGAAAAAACTCGTTCAAAGCTTGACTACGCAACGCTCCGCTTTGAACGAGTTCTGACACTGAGTTTGCTACAATGCTGGCTTAAGTATCAAAAAATAGCTGAAATTCAGGGCTATTTTTTGATACCTAAGCGCGCATTGTAGCATAAACCAGTGTCGAGAAAAACTCGTTCAAAGCTAGACTACACAACACTCCCCACCGTCATAATGGGGGTGGGACACTATTACAGTATTTACGGTATGTTTATGATTGTTTATGATTGTTTATGATTGTTTATGATTGTTTATGAATAAGCGGAAACAGCATAAAACGAAACAAAATCTTAAACAAACAATAAAAACACAAAAACTAAACAAAAACATGAAAAAAAACTACACCCATGCACAAAAAAAATGTCACATCGTTTTTACAAAACTTTATGCCTAAATTTGACCTACTAAACGTGTTCCAAATTCTATGCTGTCAAAAGGTTTTAGATAGCAAAAAGCTTCTACTTTCTTGTGAAAAAGTGTTAAAGTTCTAGCAATTTGTTTAAATTTTTATTTTTCAATAAATACCGGAAGAACACCAAAAACGGGTGCACAAAAAAATGTCACACATAAAATAAAAATTGATAAAAACAAAAATCTAACATTTTGTCGGGCCTCCCTTAGCTTGAATAACTGCCTGAATCCTCCGTGGCATCGAATCGGTCAAATCCTCCAAGAGGATCCTCAAATCTTCCGCTTCGAATGAAGTACCAAGCTCAACCTTGGTCGCAAATCGTTTGCCCTTCAGTTTACCCTTGATGTGCGACCACAAATGCTCGATTACGTTGAGATCCGGGCTGTAAGGTGGAGCAGCGACGAGCTTGACACGATTGTCAGCGAACCATCCCGGTAAACGAGCCCTTCCACCGTTTGAAAGTCGGCCGACCCTTCCTATCAACATCTGGTGCTTGTGACACGGAGCGTTATCCTGGTACAACAACCATCCTTGTCCCATATTCGTGGTCGCAAATGGAAGAAGATCATTCTCCAGGATCGTCTTGTACCGCTGGGCCTTCAAGGTTGAGTTGAGAAAGACGAGCGGACCTGGTGAACTTCTAGTCATCGCTCCTGAAAAAAAAGCAAGATTAGTTGACATAAGGGAACAAGTCTTTTACCCCATAGCATAATCGATCCGCCACCAAATTTGACTGTCGGCCGCAAGTATTTGATGTTATGGTGTTGTCCAATTGGTCTCCGGATCAAGTGATTGCCATTAGGGTTGAAGAGATTGATCTTCGACTCATCGGTGAAAATGACATTGGCCCAGTCATTCGGCGTCCAACTTTGGTACTTTTTTGCGAACTCGAGTCGGATCTTCCTGTGCTTGGCAACCATCAGAGGTTTCTTGGCGGCCCTTCTAGTTATCAATCCTGCTCGATTCAAGCGTCGGCTCACTGTCATTCGATTGATATCCTTGCCGAATTGTTGCTTGATGAGGCAAACACCATCCGACGCGTTAAGATTCGGGTCCTTATTGTGCGCCAAAATCAAAGCCTTGTCTTCGCGTGGTGTAGTGGCTGGTGGCCGTCCACTTCCTGGTGTGCTGTGCAAATTTCCAGTCGTTCTCGACTTCGCAGCAATGCGAGAAACGGTTCTTACATCACATTTGAACAGCTCGGCCACCTGTTTCCGCGGGATTCCTTGTTTCCTTGCTTCAACAATCTTTTCTTTGTCTGGCGTTGAGAGCTGTGATTTTACCATTCTAAAATTAAAAAAATTAGCATAAAAGAATGCAATCAAAAAAAGTAAAACGGAAAAAAAAGCAGATTCAAGTTAAATGTGACATTTTTTTTGTGCACCCTTTTTTGGTGTTCTTCCGGTATTTATTGAAAAATAAAAATTTAAACAAATTGCTAGAACTTTAACACTTTTTCACAAGAAAGTAGAAGCTTTTTGCTATCTAAAACCTTTTGACAGCATAGAATTTGGAACACGTTTAGTAGGTCAAATTTAGGCGTAAAGTTTTGTAAAAACGATGTGACATTTTTTTTGTGCATGGGTGTATTTGTTCTAAAAAATAAACAAAATGCAAAAACATATCAAAACGCGTAAATAAATTATTTTTCGCGGCAACATGGCAAAACGGGCTTTTCTAGGTTGCTTGAGTTAATCTTCTATAAAATCTCTATAAAATCTCTAGAAAATTTCTAGAAAATGATTAAAAACATTTAAAAAACATGATACCCTACTGTGCAATAATGTTTCAATCCAAATCGGATACAATATATGCATGCAGAACACATCCTTGTACATAACTCAAAAGATCCAAACCAAAACCTTAATGGACCATAAAAAAAAAGTCAAATAAGTGACTTTTTTTTCTTCTCAAAAACCTAGCGGAAGAAATTTGCGAAAAATGGGAACCGATTAGTGAAAAGGGAAAAGCCTTTGAAGTTTTGACTCTCTTTTTCTCTAGATTTTTCTGAGCATTCTTTCTGAAAGTTAGGGTTCTCTTGAAAGAATGAACTCAAACATTTTTGTCTAAAGAAATCTTTTCTTTTTTGATTCTTTCACTGGCTTTAGAACCCCGGAAGGCAAAGGGAAAGAAAAAAAACGAGAGTTCTTGCTAAATTGGCCTTGATTTTGGGTTAGCTGTTGCATGTTGCAAGACAATGTTGCAAGACTTTTGCACCCAGTTTTTAGGGTATTTGTTAGTAGTTTTGTCATTTACTTTTTTGTTTTACGCTGAACTTCAAATTTGTTTTTGTAAATAAAGTGTACATGTATTATTCTAATTAAAAACAAAAAAGCCCTACGAACGGGTGGCATTTTCTATAAAAAAATTTCATCGATTTTTTTGAAAAAGTTATGTTGCAAGACTTTTGCTCGGTACTGTATTTCTTCAGGTGACGTTCTTTTGGAAAAGTTCTTTCTGAAAAACACAAAATTAAGTACCAAGAACAATAAAAACAAGTTTTAGTTTTCAAGTTTTAAGTTTCAAGTTTTAGTTTTCTCTAACTAATGCGTGTCGAATTTAAGGTTTGTTTTTGCTTTCTTTCTTTTGTTTTTCTCAAAACTTGCAGCTTTTTTCAGAAAGTCGTCAGCGCCTACTCGTTGAGGGCTTTCTTCATCACGAAATTCGCCTCTTTTCAGCGAATTCGCTCCGAAAGACTGTGAGGGTTTATGAATTTAAAAGTTTATCGTATAGAATGAAGTTAGTTACGACTAAATTTAGTTACGAACTAAAGTTTATGAAGCTTACAAAATGTTTTTTGTTTAGCAAGCTCGCCGTTCGCCTCCCGAAATCGATCGCTCCAGTCCGGCCCCGGTTTCGTCTCGTTTCAAAGGTTTTTACTACTACTTTTCAAGTGCTTTTGGATTTATAGCTGCCTTGCCTAATTGCCACTTTAATAGTTAACGATAAAATTCATTAAAACATTGATCTTGATCATTTTCAGGCATCCGACATCTCGCTGAAAGAAATCCTCTCACGAGATGCTGCCGGTGAAATACTCGAGCGATTCTGCAAAGGTTATTTGTTTTATTTTTCAAACTTTGCCTTTTGTTTTAGATCAAAACTTTCTCAAACAAACAGACGATGAAGGGAACACGATGTTACACCTGGTTATCAAGGTGGTCTTATTAATAATGAGTATATAGGTAGTTAGTTGTAAGGTAGTTTAAAGCGCACTTTTAGAGCTGTGCTTTGACAGATTGCCTAACATGTTCAATATAAATTGTACTTTTTTAGTTGAACGCTCGTCGATGTGCCCGTCTCATTTGCACATTGAATGCTTGTGATGAACCGTGGCTAAGTCGAAATTCTCACGGAGAGACGCCCATTCAAATGAATGAACAATCCGAGTAAGCAGTGAATATCTTTCTTAAATTTTTATCTTTTAGAATCGCCGACGATTTGCGCATTTTGACTTCCAACTCTCCCATCGAGCGCGAGTCGAAATTTTGGATGAGGTGAGTTGGCTGCTCAATGGTTGTCTCTTGTGCTAGCTTTTAGATAGTACCAGCTTACTATTAGTTTTTTATCTATTTTTTCTTGTTAAATTTCATTTTTAGTGATCTAAACGAAGAGCTCATTGAGGAACGTTTGAGGGATTCTAATTCGACAAAGGAAATTCTCGTCGCACTCGATGGAGGCGGGATCAAAGGAGCCGCCGAGATTATGGTTGGAGGTTTTAATGAAGATTTTTTTAGCAAGCCTCCTTTAATATGATCCAAAATCTATAAAAATTGGCGTAATTAGTTGGCCTATAAATGGTAGATTAGGCTGTCCAGAAAGTCTTTTTGTTCCTTTTTGTACTTCCGTTTAAAACCAACAAATGCACCAATTGAACTTTTTCATTAGAAAGACCAATCATTTTTCTGCAAGATAACATTAAAACAGGTTTTGTCAATGTCTGGATTTTTTTGGAAGCGTGCAAAAACAATTCTTGGTTGCCCGTTTGTCTTTTGGTTGAAAGCCTTCAGAGAAATTCTTTCAGCCAATTTCTTCGTAGAGGTTTTTATCGATTTTTACGAAAACACGTTTTCATTCTCGAATTTGTCTAAACACTTTTTATTTAGAGGAAACCATAGGTTAATTGGTGAATTTGTTATTTTTCAACGGAAATACGAAGAGAAACTAAAAGACTTTCTGGACAGCCTAATATTATTCGCTTTAGGCTCTTCGAGAATTGTCTCTCCGCCTTTCATCAACTTCTCCATCAATCACTTCACTCTTCAAATCATTTGATTGGATTGGCGGAACGAGTGTTGGTGCGGTCATTGCTGCTTTCTCAGCTCCACGCCATCATGAAAATGGTTGGCTTTTTGACAAGCTAGACCATACATACAGTGGTCAAAAAGTCTTGATACCTTTCAAAAAATCAGCAAATTGAGTATCCAGAAGTATTGGATTCAGCTCGTTTTTGTTTCATTAGATAAAACAAAGTTAGAAACTTATAATTCACATAAAATATGCACTTTGCAAAAACTATTCATGTACAAAAAATCAAAAAACTGCAAAAAAACAAGGCAAAAAAGTCTTGATACCTTTTCTCTTTTTCTCCTGTTTTTTTTTTTTTACGTTAGAGCTTTGCTAATTTTTGATATTGTTTCTTTTTAGAGATGCCGTGCAAGCAATACATCGACAGTCCCACAAAGGAGCGAATCGTTGAAGCTCAAAAAGTTGGACTCAAAGTCAGTGTGATTCAAAACCTCTTCTCCGTTTCGAAGATGACAATATGGAGGCTCTGCAATCGGATGAAAGAACGTGGAAATGCACCGATTAAAGAAAAAAGCCCGACAACCAAAAACAGCGTCTCGACAAGGCCGGGCACTTCGGAATTTCTTCGCCTCGGCGCCGGATTTTACAGTCACAGACGGGAAAAGTTACTTAAAAGGGCGATTTGGGATTGATGTAACTTCGCAAACGATTCGAAATCGACTGAAATTTCTCGGGTTGTTTTCACGACGATCTGCTCGTAAACCTTTGATGGTTCTTAGACACTGGAGGCTCCGTTTGAAATTCGCCCGCACCTACCAACATTGGTCGATCGATGACTGGAAACGTGTCTTGTGGAATGATGAAACTAAGTTCAATTTGTTCAACAGTAATGGCAACTACACCATCAAGACACCCACTGCAACACGATACAACTTGAAATACATTCGACAGACTGTCAAATTCAATAGAGAAGGGATACTATGTTGGGGCTATTTTTCTTCAAACTTAGTTGGACCTCTAATCCTCATAGATGTATTCATGGACAGTGTGAAATATCGGGATATGATGCAAAATGATATGCTTCCTTACGCAAATGTAGCAATGAGTCCAAACTGGCTGTACCAGCAGGGTGGGGATCTACACATACAAGTGAATTGATGTTGAAACAAAAACTGAAGATCCGACCTCGAGCTTTTGTGAGATTGCTGGTTTCGGCTAAACAATGTCAATTTGCTGCGAACACCACCCTATTCACCGGATTGTAACCCTATTAAACATTATTGGGTACATGTCAAACGAAAATTGCGAGGATTCCGCTTTGCGTCAAAAAAATGAGCTTTGGGACAAGGTTCAGTCTATTTGGAGCTCAATTTCACAACGAACCACGGAAAAATTGATCGCAAGTATGCCAAACCGACTTCAGGAGATTATAAAAGCTAAAGGAGGCCCAACTCGATACTGAATTTTGTTAAAAATAAATAACTTTTGAAAAGGTATCAAGACTTTTTTTGCATTTTTTTTTATTTTTTGTAAATAAATAGTTTTTGTAAAGAGTATACTTTCTGTTAATTATAAGTTTCTAACTTACAATTAACAATGTTACTGTTTTATCTAATGAAACAAAAACGAGCTGAATCCAATATTTTTGGATACCCAATTTGCTAATTTTTTGAAAGGTATCAAGAGTTTTTGACCACTGTATATCTAGGTCATAGGTGTAAAAGTTGACTATGGTTTTAAAATTTTATCTTTTTAGGGTCTCAGTCGCCGGATACAAACCTTGGGTCATTTCTCGCCGAAACCCGCGCCACCTTTCATCCGAAACTCAAGAAACCTTCTTTTCGGGGAGAGGTCTTTATTTTCTTAGAATTGATCTTAAAGATTAACTATACTCTAAAGTATAATTTGTTAACTTAAACATTCCCGATTCTTTCAAAGCTTTTCTTTAGCTTCTCCACAAATCTCTTCGCGAACATGTTGGAACGTCCCGGCTTGGCGATATCGAAGCAAAGTAAGAATCAAAAGAATATCGACAAGACGTTTAGTTTTAATTCGGTAATTCATGTTTTTTTCCAAATTTGTCTGCACATCTGTTGATGGAGCCATGATACCACCGAGACTGCTCGTTTTTCGGTCTTACTTTTCAATGTTTTGTCTAAACTTTTATTTCCAGGAATTTCCCCATCGAAGTTCAGACAGACGAGGATCATCGAGAGGTGGAAATCGTCGACGCACTTATGGCATCAACGTTTGTTTTGTCGTTGTTGAACTTTATCATTTTTCCTTTATCGTTTTAGAGCGTCTCCTCTACTACTTCCCGTCTCTCCACTCGGTCTCTCCGATGGAGGAGTTCTCGCAAAGAATCCCAGTCTCGTCCTCTTGACTGAATATCATCGATTCTATGCGGTGAGCTGAAATGTTGTTTATGAATCATGTTTATTCTTTAGAAAGCCGTCCGCCATCCAACTCCTTCACTATTCCTTTCATTAGGCACTGGCTACAACGAGGCGAGACGCACAAGTGGAATTCATTTTGGAGATTTGCCGAAGAATCGCGTTTTCTTCGATTGGCGTAAGTTTTTATCAAGTGGACAGTTATTGGAACTTTACCTTTTTCAATCATTTCAATCATTTCAATTTAGATTTTATGCGCACGACGAAGAATCTCTTTGACGTTTTTGTTAGCCAAGTGCGTGTATTTTTTGTAAAATCCGGCGATTTCAATCATTTCATTTTAGTCAACAAGCGGCGACACAGCATGTCTTGATCAAGCAGCCGCTTGGTGTCTTGCTACGAGAAGTCCCTATTTTCGCATCAATCCGCCAAATATTGTAAGTTTGTTATTTTTTTCAAACGATTTGAAAGAAATAATTGTATTCAATTTTAGAATCGTCTTTCATTGACATGTACTGATGCAGAGAAAGTCGCCGATTTTCTGTGGGGAGTCATGGTTTGTTTTTCGCGTTTTTATCAGCACTATAGTCTTTTAGAATCCAAAGATATCCAAATCCAATTCATAATAGCTTTTTACAGTACTCGCTTAGGTTTATCTCCGCACGACGGCTCGCCATGATCTCGATCAACTCGCCAGTTTCATCAAAAGGTTGAAATCTTAGCTTGAGAAGTAGTCTATTTGTTAACTTTCTTAAGCTTTATTGATTAAATGATTTGCATTCTAGAAACAATTTTCTTTTACCGTTTGTTATTATGGCTAAAATAAAAGTTCTTTATTACAATCAGGAAAATCTTAATGGAATTTAATTTTTTTTACGTAGGGTAGATCGCAGCTTCTTGGTGTTCCACCTAAAACAATGTGATGAGTAAGTTCGAAACAAAACTTTTAAAACGTACCTGACAAGCGTAGCATTTCTCCGTCGGCTCTTTCCAACACAATTTGCAATATGTGGCAGGGCATTGTTCACATTTGTGTGTTTGCCACGCGCGAAGATATGTCTAAAATTTGTGAAATGAAAGAATAACCCGAAAAGCAACCTTACATAAGAAACACTCAAATGGCCTGTACAAATTGTTGACGATCACGCGGCGTATCAATGAGTTTTTAGCGAAACAGAAGCTAAAATAAAAGATGAATTTATTCACCATATCAAAAGCTTTACCACAAATCATCATCGTCCTCATCTTTCTCTCCTTTTCGTTCTTTTCGCCATTTGACAAAGAAAGCAATGCGTCGTCGAGCCTCTTCACGAGCAGTCAAACGATGTTTCAAACACTAAAAAGTTAAAGAATCTTTATTGATTAAAATTAGTTAGCCTTTCATCTAGGGTCTTTTGTAGTTTAACTTACAAAAGATTTTGCCAACAAACATACCAAGTTGTAGAGCCAAATCACACGAGCACGGGCTTTTCGGGGAAACATATAGGGCAAGAAGCAGAATAAGATCACTCGTTTTGGCAAAAATGCAAGCAAAATCTAGAAAAGTAAATCTTTCAGCAAAATAACCAAATCAACCTGGGAAAAGAACATGAAAAGCAATGGAAGAAAAATCGTACCCACATAAATGTCATAATCGGGTAGAGATGGCTTTAACTAAAGGAAAAATCACAAGCTATAAGCATCAAAATAATCTGTTTTTAATAAAACAAACCAAGCAATCATCCAAAACGAAAATCGGTTGAACGGTTTCATTTTTAAGTTGGAAGAGTTTCCGCAGCATTTTCGGGAAGATCCCCACGCCCGTCACCTAAAGTGAGAAAACAATTAGCAATCTACACTTTAACTCTAAACTGACGTTTAAATGAAGTGTCGGTAGTTGTATGCTTTTGACGTCTTCTTTGACGAAAGCAGCCCCAACACAGTATCACTTCTCGATTGAATTTGACAGTCTGTCGAATGTATTTCAAGTTGTATCGTGTTGCAGTGGGTCTCTTGATGGTGTAGTTGCCATTACTGTTGAACAAATTGAACTTAGTTTCATCATTCCACAAGACACGTTTCCAGTCATCGATCGACCAATGTTGGTAGGTGCGGGCGAATTTCAAACGGAGCCTCCAGTGTCTAAGAACCATCAAAGGTTTACGAGCAGATCGTCGTGAAAACAACCCGAGAAATTTCAGTCGATTTCGAATCGTTTGCGAAGTTACATCAATCCAAAATTCCCCTTTTAAGTAACTTTTCCCGTCTGTGACTGTAAAATCCGGCGCCGAGGCGAAGAAATTCCGAAGTGCCCGGCCTTGTCGAGACGCTGTTTTTGGTTGTCGGGCTTTTTTCTTTAATCGGTGCATTTCCACGTTCTTTCATCCGATTGCAGAGCCTCCATATTGTCATCTTCGAAACGGAGAAGAGGTTTTGAATCACACTGACTTTGAGTCCAACTTTTCGAGCTTCAACGATTCGCTCCTTTGTGAAATCTAATGAAACAAAAACGAGCTGAATCCAATACTTTTGGATACTCAATTTGCTAATTTTTTGGAAGGCATCAAGACTTTTTTGACCACTGTATGTATGTCTAGCTTGTCAAAAAAACCAACCATTTTCATGATGGCGTGGAGCTGAAAAAGCAGCAATGACCGCACCAACACTCGTTCCGCCAATCCAATCGAATGATTTGAAGAGTGAAGTGATTGATGGAGAAGTTGATGAAAGGCGGAGAGACAATTCTCGAAGAGCCTAAAGCGAATAATATTAGGCTGTCCAGAAAGTCTTTTAGTTTCTCTTCGTATTTCCGTTGAAAAATAACAAATTCACCAATTAACCTATGGTTTCCTCTAAATAAAAAGTGTTTAGACAAATTCGAGAATGAAGAAAAACCCCAACCATAATCTCGGCGGCTCCTTTGATCCCGCCTCCATCGAGTGCGACACAAATTTCCCTTGTCGAATTAGAATCGCTCAAACGTTCCTCAATGAGCTCTTCGTTTAGACCACTCAAAATGAAATTTAACAAGAAACAATAGATATAAAACTAATAGTAAGCTGGCCCTATCTAAAAGCTAGCACAGGAGACAACCATTGAGCAGCCAACTCACCTCATCCAAAATTTCGACTCGCGCTCGATGGGAGAGTTGGAAGTTAAAATGCGCAAATCGCCGGCGATCCTAAAAGATAAAAATTTAAGAAAGATATTCATTGCTTACTCGGATTGTTGATACATTTGAATGGGCGTCTCTCCGTGAGAATTTCGACTTAGCCACGGTTCATCACAAGCATTCAATCGTCACGATTGTGGTCGACTGAGCTTCAGAACGCTTTTTGATTGTGCGGAGGCAATGTCACCGCACAGCAGACGTGTAATTCCATCGCTGGAAAAATATGAAAAACAAGGAATGCGCATTCAGTAAGCTTTAGTGATGCTTGAAAAATGTTTGTCTTTAGGTTTCCCAAGTGGCCTGTGGTGGTTCAACGCGGAAAAGGAAGAGGCAAGGATTCATTCTTCCCGATTGAAGTCCTACGAGTCGCACCAAATCAGCGTGTCCCATTGACGAAGTTCCTCTGCAGTCCAGAGAAGGCCAGAAAACCCGATGATCGTTGGAATCTGATCAAAAATCATCTCGACGAGCTTGATCTTTCAAGGAACTCTCCAATTATGGCTGGGTAGGTTCCATCAAATATTTAGGTTGTCTAAAGTTACCTTTTAAGATTTGGCATCTCTGTTGATTCAAAGCCTTTCCAAGTTACTGGCTTCCGTCGACTTGCTCCGAAAGTTCAATCGGGCGAATCGAGATCTGTGCCTACAGATTTAAAGAAAGCTGGCTGGAAACAGGGAAAAGCAACTTACACTGAGGGCGCTATTGTGGACAAGCTGTATGTTAAGTTACAATTAAAAACCGTTTTTCGCTCTGCATTTGCACAAGTGTATCTTTGCATTTTAGTTACATTGCATGGAATGAAAACCCACGAGTTCTACCACAAATTCAAGCATTTGCCGAGCGCTTCAAGATCGAAGCGGACCGCAAAGGAATAACAATTCGCTCACTTGAAGTCGAAAATGCGCCAACAAATCTTGACGATAAAGTTCGAACTGTAAATCTATTTGCCAAGGTTGTCTTAATTGAAAGTAGTGGCTTAATCATCTATTATTCAGGCAAAGAATCAACGCAAAATCCTTGGTGCAAGAGCTACGATCATGATCATCTACATTTCAAGTTTGTTGCTTGTTCCTTTAAACAAAAAATCTTTTAGACAAGTTCGTTGATCCTGCTGGCCGAATTCCAGAAACGAGGTCTCATGGGCTCCTGAAATTCTTGGAAGCGAAACATCAAATTGCAATGTCGTAAAATTGTAGCACACAACGTCTAATTTTAGGTGACGCAACATCTGGCAACGGAAAATATCCTCGGCAAAAAGCAATACGACAACTCAATTAAGCCGATGGATAATGCGACTATGGAGAACATTCTCAACAAGTTCAATTTGAAGGCATTTGGATTAAATTATACGATTGTGCCGGAATAGTCATACGAAAGACTTACTCCAACTTACTTGAACCTTTCCAATAACCAGGCATGATGTCAAAAGAAGAAGCACAAAGATTTTCATTGCTCGTTTTGTGATTTTGCTGGTTATTTGAAGACATTTTTAAGTTTTAGATGAATCTAAATGGAATTAATCAAATCAAATTCAGAAAATTATTTTAAAGATTTGAATGTAACTATTGTTCAATCTTAAAATGTCAACTACATGAAAAGTCATTTTAAAATTAAGGGACTTAGTTTTAAGGTCGCATTTCTTTTTTCTGCTTTCTTGCGTTACTTGTAATCTTTTTCATGTATTCCTTTATTCAAAAGATATCAAGCCGTTAAATGCACAACACAAACATCTCCACATCCAAATACACATGGCCGACTCCACGTCTTCACCTCAGTAATCATCCAATCACCAGATGCTCCGTAGAGATAAGTGCACGTTTTGTGATTTGCTCCTTTTCGAAAAACAGTCACAATGTCGACACGTCCTTCCCAGCTATCACCATAAGTCCACAAATCCTCTGCTAGCGATTGGATCTCGTCATGTCGTTCTCCTCCCCATATCAAAATGTCTTGAAAGTAACGACTAAAATAAAGTATTATCTCAATTCTGACTCTGACCAGTGATCGCCAGCTTAGGTTTTAAAGCAAAGAAATGTAAAGAAGTTTTCCAAACCCTTGTAAACAGGGCTGAAAAAAGCCAGGACCGATCCTAACCCTAACGTACTTTTGATTTTACTTCGTAACTGTTCACTAGGAACTGTTAAAATTCGAACCCCTTTAATTGAATTTTTTGAAAAAGTATTTGGGTTTGCGACCCGACCTTCATTATAACAAGCTAGCCCATATATTAGGCTGGCCAACTAGCAATCACGGATTGACTGACAGATGGTCTCAAACCAAACCAAAGTTGATGTGTTTCATCTTATTCTTCATCTTAAACCTAGGCTAAAAATGTTTGTTCCCGCGGCACGATTTTCCCGCGTAGACACCCAAGCTTTGGATGCGTTTTTCTTGTGTGTTTTTGAATGGACAAAAACTGAATACAGCATCAGATACACCGTGTCCGCTTGGCGTTTGCATTTCAACGGCAACAATATCTGCTAAGACCATTTTGTGGCATCTCCTTGCTTGGTCTTTTTGCAAAAAAAGTTCAAAATTTGGTCACAGCTAGGAGTCGAACCCTCGACTCTCGCCTCAACGAGTCGCCAAACCGCCCAGCTAAACTTAGTGATCCTGAAATGTGATTTTGACACTTTTTTGCGTACCAAGCTGACTGAGTACCACTTAAACGCTTATAAAAATTTGAAAATCAACAAATGGTCTTCGCTACTGTGTTCCTCTTGAATACAGCTTTCGAATAAGACTAAAGATTGGCTTAGTTTGAGACCAGCTCCCAGCAAATCCACCATTACTTATTAGCCAGCCTAATAAACACTCGTCTGACCTGATTCTTTCTTTTGTATCAGGCTTTGATCTCTCCGGAAAGCCACCACGAAACACAAATATCACATAATTCTCAAATTCCAGCACAGAGTTATCGTCTTCCAAGCTAACGAAACCCGTTCTCATGTAGTAGTTGTCCTCTGAGAAAGCGTCTCCTTCCCAAAAAGCATTCACATAGTCTGCCGGTACAACGGCGACTTGCTTCCTGATTCTGAAAATTACAGAAAACGTTGCAAGTCAAGTTCAGAAGTTTTATTCAGAAACTTTAACCCCTGATTATTATTCCATGAGGAATCAATGGGGATCAATCCATGCCGTAGCAATTTGTGCAACACCCATTCCTAGAAATCGTCCTTTCCCACTTTTCGAATCATCAATTCAGGAGGTAGTTCGGTAGGAAATGACGTGCCGCGATGCTTCTTGTTTCTCCATACTTGTTGTACTTATTGACACGAGCATGGGTAAAGCCGGCCACCTCCATTTGTTCAGTATTGCATCCTCGCCAACAATGGGAGTCAGTCAGGTTCCCGCCTTGATGTGTTCAATCATCGCTTCCAATAGGGTCGGTCACCTTGACCAGAAAACATTCCTTGGTTTCCGGGCAAACTCCTCTAAATATCCACACTTGCGGCCAGATTCGGCCCACGTTCGCCTTTCGCTTCGAGAAGAGAGCATCGTCCACTTCGTCGATTCGATTGGGTTCTCTAATTTTTCCTCTCAGCTTGTTCACGAGAGATTCCACGCAAAGAATCCGAGTTGTTGAAGTCGACCGCGGTGATTCATCTCCAATTCTTTCGTACAATAGTTGATGAGATTCACTGTTGAGTCCATCCATAATCGTAGGATTGTGAGAAACGGAATTTTGGTCTTCGGCATCCATGAGCCAACACGCAGGTCGATCGCTGTCCAGCAGGACGTTTTGTCGCATCTGCATTGGAGATTCTGATTGAGCAATAGCTTCATAACGTGATCGAGGGAAATGATCGAGGGTTGATTTTTGCGGATGTATAACGGAAAAGAACCCTTTTCGCGTTGATCATGAGCTAAAACTTACATATTATCGGTGTTAACCAAAAGATTTTGGATTTCGGAAGCCATTCGCTGCATTTTCTTTTGTTGTTCATACTGGGTGCTGCCCCATGTCCAATCCTTTTGATCCTCTTCAGCTCCGTGATGCTGGCCCATCCAATTTAGAATTATCTCCTCTTCTTCGGGCTTTTGGATCCAATCTGCCTAAAAGCTTGCTGTCTCGAGAAAATTTTCAAATGCTTGGCCACCTTTAATACCTTTAACTAAACATTTGCCTTTAATTAAAGGTGAAAACTCACCCGTGTGCCTGTGTAGCATCCAACATTGAGAACGACTTCACCTTCGTACACCCAATTACGCCCCGATCCATAAGTGATAGTTTTTGTGTCTGACGGAAAATCCATCTTGTGGTTGATCTGAAAAACATTTTTGAGGATAAACTGAAAAAGAAACTCCCACTCGAACAAGCGCGAAATGGTCTGGATCAGCAGTGCACGTGAACGTTCGTTCGATCCAAAAATATTGACTGTAATTGAGTGATGAAGATAAAATGAGAAGGGTTGTCTCTAGCGACCAAAAAGCCTTGAGCCAAGGGCCGGACCATAGCTGCGGGCAAGCCTTGATCGAGTCCAAGCTCATTAAGGCTTTGACCGTGCCGGGTCCGGAAAATCTTTCACGAAACAACTCTTACTGAGACGTCACATCGCTCGAAAAGTTTATCCAATTGCCACCAGGCGAATGAATGACGATTTTTTTTCACCCTGGCTGTAGCATTCGTTAATCCATTCTAAAAAAAGAGCCAGTAGACGAGTTGGGTAACAAAAAAAGAACAAAGTAATCGATCGAAACAAACGGACCTTTATCTGCTGTCACAACTTGTGCCAGTGAAGCCACAAACCAGAAAACGAATTTTTTCTTCATTTACAGCCAACTAAAAAGCAAATTTTATGAAATGTGAATTGCAAAAAGAGAAAGTTTAGTATAAAAACGAAAAGTTGTTGAAATAAGTACTAAGATTTTGGAATTTGATTTGACGACTTCATTTTCTCATCAAATTTCTATTTTCTGATTTAAAGGTCTATGTTGATCAAATAGTCATCAAAAAATCTATGGAGAAAATAAAGTAGTCAATCTGAAAGTTGAAAGTTGAAATTTGGAATTTAAAGGTCTATGTGGTGTCTGGAAAATGATTCAATTCAAAAACAATTTTTTTGATAGAAGCATACATTTTTCTTTTTCCCATTTAATAAATCGCTCAAAAGAAGTTAATGGAAGAAAGAGAAGACAAATTTCAGCTCTTTTGCGATAAACTGTAGTACCAGTGAAGTATCTGAGTAGTCATATTTTTGTTTTTATATATGAATACTTTATTCAGAAATAAAGTGCCGAAATGAAGATTTACATTAACTCATGAAAAATAGAAGATGCCACTATGGAATCAGAAGCACTCCATTTGCCTCAATGTTTAGTAAAGACTACGATGATAAACAGGAAATAAGGTAAGCTTTTAATTACCGTATTTTCTCTAATAGTAGTGCACCCCGATGAGCCGAGTTGGTGATGAAAACGAAAATTGGTCCGAAAATGGCGTGATCAACCGGAATTATCGTCCGAGAATTTGGTTTGTTTTGTTTATTGTTTACTTTAGTCTACCGTATTTCTTTGAATAGAAGACGAGATCTAGAGGGTGATCGAAAAAAGAGAAGACCAGGTTGAATATAACACCGATCTTTTATTCGAAGTATCACTTCTTTTCTATTTTTCGCTAAAATTATTGTATCCGAAATAAGAAGTCAACCCGAAAGTGTAGTTTTTTTCTGATTTTCTTCAGATTTTATTGCGTTACTAATTTTTCTTTCTTGGGTAATGCCGAATTCAAAAAGCTCTAGGAGCAAAAGTCAAGCGAAAGGCCTACGCATTTTCGTTCAAACTCGAAGCTGTTCGTTTTTCAACGGAGAAACCAAAGGAAGCGGCTGATCGATGGTTTAATGTTACCCTGAAGATGGTTCAATATTCGCCAAAATCAAGGTTCAATTGATTATTAAATGTTATTTTTTTACTCGGTTTTTACATTTTTAAGTTTTAAAGGAAGCTGAATGGAATTAATGAAATCAAATTGAGAAAACTATTTTGAAGATGTGAATGTAATCAACTATTGTTCAATTTTAAAATGTCAACTCCATGAAAAATCACTTAAAAAAATTAAGGGACTTTGTTTTAAGGCCGCATTTCTTTTTTTTCTGCTTTCTTGCGTTACTTGGAATCTTTTTCATGTATTCCTTTATTCAAAAGATATCAAGCCGTTAAATGCACAACACAAACATCTCCACATCCAAGTAGACATGGCCGACTCCACGTCTTCACCTCAGTAATCATCCAATCACCAGATGCTCCATAGAGATAAGTGCACGTTTTGTGATTTGCTCCTTTTCGAAAAACAGTCACAATGTCGACACGTCCTTCCCAGTAACCACCACAACTCCATAAATGCACTGCTAGTGATTGGATCCCGTCATGTCGTTCTCGCGATTTCGAAGTGTCTTGAAAGTAACGACTAAAATAAAGTATTATCTCAATTCTGACTCTGACCAGTGATCGCCAGCTTAAGTTTTAAAGCAAAGAAATGTAAAGTTTTTCAAACCATTGTAAACAGGGTTGAAAAAGCCAGGGCCGATCTCGGCCTGACCCTAACGTACTTTTGATTTTATTTTTTAGGTCAAAATTACATTTTTTATTTATAAGTATTCATAACTGTTCAAGAACCCCTTTAATTGAATTTTTTGAAAAAGTATTTGGGTTTGCGGCCCGACCTTCATCATAACAAGCTAGCCCATATATTAGGCTGGCCAACAAGTAATGACGGATTGACTGACAGATGGTCTCAAACCAAACCAAAGTTAACGTGTTTGATCTTATTCGAATGCTCTATTCAATAGGAGCACAGTAGCAAAAACCATTTTTTGATTCGTTCGGTTTTCAAATTTTTATAAGCATTTAAGTGAGCTCGGTCAGACCGAAAAAAGTGTCAAAACCACATTTCGTCAATTTTTCGGTTAAAAATATGTTTGTTTCCGCGGCACGATTTTCCCGAGTAGACACCCAAGCTTTGGATGCGTTTTTCCTGTGTGTTTTTGAATATGGACAAAAACTGAATACAGCATCGGATTCACCGTGTCCACTTGGCGTTTGCATTCCAACGGCGTCAATATCTGCTAAGACCATTTTGTGGCATCTCCTTGCTTGGTCTTTTTGCAAAAAAGTTCAAAATTTGGTCACAGGTAGGAGTCGAACCCTCGACTCTCGCATCAACGAGTCGCCAAACCGGCCAGCTAAACTTAGTGATCCTGAAATGTGATTTTGACACTTTTTGGGTACCAAGCTGACTGAGTAACACTTAAATGCTTATAAAAATTTGAAAACAGAACGAATCAACAAATGTTCTTCGCTACTGTGTTCTTCTTGAATACAGCTTTCGAATAAGACCAAAGATTGGTCAAGTTTGAGACCAGCTCCCAGCAATTCCACCATTACTTATTAGCCAGCCTAATAAATCCTCGTCTGACCTGATTTCTTCTCTTGTATCAGGCTTTGATCTCTCCGGAAGCCGAAAGCCACCACGAAACACAAATATCACATAATTCTCGAATTCCAGCACAGAGTTATCGTCTTCAAAGCCAAAGAAACCCGTTCTCATGTAGTAGTTGTCCTCTGAGAAAGCGTCTCCTTCCCAAAAAGCATTCACATAGTCTGCCGGTACAACGGCGACTTGCTTCCTGATTCTGAAAATTACAGAAAACATTGCAAGTCAAAGTTTTATTCAGAAACTTTTCGCGGTTCCTTTCCGTTATACATTCACAAAAATAAACCCTGATTATTAATCAATGAGGAATGAATGAGGATCAATCCATGCCGTAGCAATTTGTTGCAACACCCATTCGTAGAAATCGTCCTTTCCCACTTCTCGTCGAACCATGGATTCAGCGAGGTAGTTCGGTAGGAAATGACGTGCCGCGATGCTTCTTGTTTCTCCATACTTGTTGTACTTATTGACACGAGCATGGGTAAAGCCGGCCTCCTCCGTCTGTTCAGTATTGCATCCTCGCCAACAATGGGAGTCAATTTAGGTTCCCGGCTCGATGTGTTCAATCATCGCTTCCAATATGGTTGGTCACCTCGAAAAGAAAACATTCCTTGGTTTCCCGGCAAACTCCTCTAAATATCCACACTTGCGGCCAGATTCGGCCCACATTCGCCTTTCGCTTCGAGAAGAGAGCCTCGTCCACTTCGTCGATTCGATTGGGTTCTCTAATTTTTCCTCTCAGCTTGTTCACCAGATATTCCACGCAAAGAATCCTAGTTGTTGAAGTCGACCGCGGTGATTCATCTCCAATTCTTTCGCACAATAGTTGATCGAGGTTCACTGTTGAGTCCATCCATAATCGTAGGATTGTGAGAGACGGAATTTTGGTGCTCTGGATCCATGAGCCAACACTCAGGTCGATCGCTGTCCAGCAGGACGTTTTGTCGCATCTGCATTGGAGATTCTGATTGAGCAATAGCTTCATAACGTGATCGAGGGAAATGATCGAGGGTTGATTTTTGCGGATGTATAACGGAAAAGAACCCTTTTCGCGTTGATCGTGAGCTAAAACTTACATATTATCGGTGTTAACCAAAAGATTTTGGATTTCGGAAGCCATTCGCTGCATTTTCTTTTGTTGTTCATACTGGGTGCTGCCCCATGTCCAATCCTTTTGATCCTCTTTAGCTCCGTGATGCTCGCCCATCCAATTTCGAATTCTTTCCTCTTCTTCGGACTTTTGGATCCAATCTGCCTAAAAGCTTCTTGTCCCTGCTGCCTCTCGTGGATTTACTAATAACTTTTTTTCGCAATACCTTTAACTATACGGAAAAACTCACCCGTGTGCCTGTGTAGCATCCAACATTGAAAACGACTTCACCTTTGTACATCCATTTACGCCGCGATCCACAAGTGATAGTTTTTGTTTCTGACGGAAAATCCATGTTGTGGTTGATCTGAAACACATTTTTGAGGATAAACTGAAAAAGAAACTCCCACTCGAACAAGCGCGAAATGGTCTGGATCAGCAGTGCACGTGAACGTTCGTTCGATCCAAAAATATTGACTGTAATTGAGTGATGAAGATAAAATGAGAAGAGTTGTCTCTAGCGACCAAAAAAGCCTTGAGCCAAGGGCCGGACCATAGCTGCGGGCAAGCCTTGATCGAGTCCAAGCTCATCAAGGTTTTCACCGGGCGGAGCCCGGGAAAGTTTTCACGAAACACGCTTACTTAGACGTCTCATCGCTCGTAAGGTTTCTCCAGTTGCCATCAGCCGAATGAATTTGAATGTTTTCACTCTGGTTCTTGCACTCTTCCATCCATTCTAAAAAACAGCCAGTAGACGAGTTGGGTAACAAAAAAAAAGAACAAAGTAATCGATCGAAACAAACGGACCTTCATTTGCTGTCACAATTTGTTTCAGTGAAGCCACAAACAAGAAAACGAATTCTTTCTTCATTTACAGTCAACTAAAAAGCAAATTTTATGAAATGTGAATTGTAAAAAGAGAAAGTTTAGTATAAAAACGAAAAGTTGTTGAAATAAATACTAAGACTTTGGAATTTGATTTGACGACTTCATTTTCTCATCAAATTTCTATTTTCTGATTTAAAGGTCTATGTTGTGACAATGATTCGATTCAAAAAGCATTTTTTTGATAGAATCATACATTTTTTCCTAATAATATTTGACTCGAAATAATTTAATGGAAAAACCAGAAGAAACATTTTAGCGCTTTTACGACAAACTGGAGTACCAGTGCAGTATCTGAGTATGCATATTTTTGTTTTTATATATGTATACTTTATTCTGAAATAAGGTGCCGAAATGAAGATTTACAATAACTCATGAAAAATAGAAAATACCACAGAAGCACTCCATTTGCCTCAATGTTTGGTAAAGACTACGATGATGAACGGGAAATAAGGTAAGTTTACCGTATTTTCTCTAATAGTAGTGCACCGCAGCGAGCCGAGTTGTTGACTATTTTACGGCTTTCAAATAAAAATTTTAGCGCTTTTACGACAAACTGTATCTGAGTTGCCATATTTTTGTTTTTAAATATAAATGCTTTATTCAAAAATATGATCAAACACCTAGATTTTGAGCTAACCTTTTGAATTAAGCAGTTACCGAAGTGGGCTAACACAAAGCTTTGCGGTTCTAACCTGATGAAGGTCCCTTCCAAATTATTAGGTTGGAAAGAAACTTCTCGGCAAAAGTTTGACTGGAATTTCTTAAAAACGAATCCACGAATGCTTGGCGCCTACTTTATAGTTAAGTTGATAGATTTTCGAAGCCATTCTCTGCATTTTCTCTTGTTGTTCATACTGGGTGCTGCCCCATGTCCAATACTTTTGATCCTCTTTATCTCCGTGATACTCGGCCATCCAATTTCGAATCTTTTCCTGTTCTTCGCGCTTTTGGATCCAATCTGCCTAAAAGCCTGCTTTCTCGGGAAAATTTTCAAATGCCTGCCTACCTTTAATACCTTTAACTAAACCTTGGGCTTTAATTAAACGTAACAACTCGCCTGTGGGCTCGTGTAGCATCCGACAGAGATCCACAGGTGATAGTTTTTGTGCCTGACGGAAAATCCATCTTGTGGTTGATCTGAATAACGTTTTTGAGGATAAACTGAAAATGAAACTCCCACTCGAACAAGCGCGAAATGGTCTGGATCAGCAGTGCACGTGAACGTTCGATAGAGCCCATAATATTGACTGTAATTGAGAGATGAAGATAAAATGAGAAGGGTTTTCTCTAGCGACCAAAAAGCCCTGAGGCAAGGGCCGGATTATGGCTCAGAGCAAGCCTTAATCGGGTCTAAGCTCATTGAGGCTTTGACCGTGCCGGGCCCGGAAAATCTTTCACCAAACAACTCTTACTGAGACGTCACATCACTCGAAAAGCCGAAAGTTTCCAGCCGAAAAGTTTCCAGCCGAATGAATGACAATTTTTTTCACTCTGGCTGTTGCACTCTTTCTCAATCCATTCTAAAAAATTAGTGATTAGACGAGTTGGGTAAGAAAAAAAGAAAAGAAAAAAGGGCAAGCATTTGATCGAGTCCGAGCTCATCGAGGTTTTCACCGGGCGGAGCCCGGGAAAGTTTTCACGAAACACGCTCACTTAGACGTCTCATCACTCGTAAGGTTTCTCCAGTTGCCACCAGCCGAATGAATTTGAATGTTTTCACTCTGGTTCTTGCACTCTTCCATCCATTCTAAAAAAAGCCACTAGACGAGTTGGGTAAGAAAAAAAGAACAATGTAATCGATCGAAACAAACGTACCTTCATTTGCTGTCACAATTAGTGCCAGTGAAGAAAGCGTCACAAACAAGAAAGAATTCTTTCTTCATTTACAGCCAACTGAAAAGCAAATTTATCTAATGTGAATTGTAAAAAGATAAAGTTCAGTAAAAAACGAGAAGTTGTTCAAATAAATACTAAAAAATTATGAATAAAATGAAGTTGTCAGGTTGAAAGTCGAAATTCGGAATTTAAAGGTCTATGTGGTGTCTGGAAAATGATTCAATTCAAAAAGAATTTTTTTGATAGAAGCATACATTTTTTCTTTTTCCCATTTAATAAATCGCTCAAAAGAAGTTAATGGAAAAAAGAGAAGACAAATTTCAGCTCTTTTGCGATAAACTGTAGTACCAGTGCAGTATCTGAGTAGTCATATTTTTGTTTTTATATATGAATACTTTATTCAGAAATAAACTGCCGAAATGAAGATTCACAATAGCTCATGAAAAATAGAAGATACCACTATGGAATCAGAAGCACTCCATTTGCCTCAATGTTTAGTAAAGACTACGATGATGAACGGGAAATAAGATAAGTTTTAATTATTTACACAATAGTTTTCAAACTATCTTGCTTAGTGATGAAAACGAAAATGGGTCCGGAAATGGCGTGATCAACCAGAATTACCGTCCGAGGATTTTGGTTTGTTTTGTTTATTGTTTATGTTTTGTCTACCGTATTTCTTCGAATAGAAGACCGCCTTTAATAGAAGACGAGATCTAGAGGGTGATCGAAAAAAGAGAAGACCAGGTTGAATATAACACCGATCTTTTATTCGAAGTATCACTTCTTTTCTATTTTTCGCTAAAATTATTGTATCCGAAATACGAAAAGTCAACCCGAAAGTGTAGTTTTTTTCTGATTTTCTTCAGATTTTATTGCGTTACTAATTTTTCTTTCTTAGGTAATGCCGAATTCAAAAAAGTCTAAGAGCAAAAGTCAAGCGAAAGGCTTACTCATTTTCGTTCAAACTCGAAGCTGTTCGTTTTTCAACGGAGAAACCAAAGGAACCGGCTGATCGTTGGCTGCTCAATGGTTGTCCCTTGTGCTAGCTTTTAGATAGTGCCAGCTTACTATTAGCTTTTATCTATTGTTTCTTGTTAAATTTCATTTTTAGTGATCTAAACGAAGAGCTCATTGAGGAACGTTTGAGGGATTCGACTCGTCGCACTCGATGGAGGAGCCGCCGATCAAAGGAGCCGCCGAGATTATGGTTGGAGGTTTTAATGAAGATTTTTTTAGCAAGCCTCCTTTAAGATGATCCAAAATCTATAAAAATTGGCTTAATTAGTTGGCCTACAAATGCTAGATTAGGCTGTCCCGAAAGTCTTTTTGTTCCTTTTTGTACTTCTGCCTTTCTGCCAAATAACATTAAAACAGGTTTTGTCAATGTCTGGATTTTTTTGGAAGCGTGCAAAAAACGTGCAAAAACAATTCTTGGTTGCCCGTTTGTCTTTTGGTTGAAAGCCTTCAGAGAAATTCTTTCAGCCAATTTCTTCGTAGAGGTTTTTATCGATTTTTTCGAAAACACGTTTTCATTCTCGAGTTTGTCTAAACCCTTTTTATTTAGAGGAAACCATAGGTTAATTGGTGAATTTGTTATTTTTCAACGGAAGTACGAAGAGAAACTAAAAGACTTTCTGGACAGCCTAATATTATTCGCTTTAGGCTCTTCGAGAATTGTCTCTCCGCCTTTCATCAAAAATTCACATAAAATATGCTCTTTGCAAAAACTATTTATGTACAAAAAATAAAAAATAAAAGAAACAAAGCAATAAAGTCTTGATACCTTTTCTCTTTTTCTCCTGTTTTTTTTTACGTTAGAGCTTTGCTAATTTTTGATATTGTTTCTTTTTAGAGATGCCGTGCAAGCAATACATCGACAGTCCCACAAAGGAGCGAATCGTTGAAGCTCGAAAAGTTGGACTCAAAGTCAGTGTGATTCAAAACCTCTTCTCCGTTTCGAAGATGACAATATGGAGGCTCTGCAATCGGATGAAAGAACGTGGAAATGCACCGATTAAAGAAAAAAGCCCGACAACCAAAAACAGCGTCTCGACAAGGCCGGGCACTTCGGCATTTCTTCGCCTCGGCTCCGGATTTTACAGTCACAGACGGGAAAAGTTACTTAAAAAGGGAATTTGGGATTGGTGTAACTTCGCAAACGATTCGAAATCGACTGAAATTTCACGACGACCTTTGATGGTTCTTAGACACTCGAGGCTCCGTTTGGAATTCGCCCCCACCTACCAACATTGGTCGGTCGATGACTGGAAACGTGTCTTGTGGAGTGATGAAACTAAGTTCAATTTGTTCAGCAGTAATGGCAACTACACCATCATGAGACCCACTGGAACACGATACAACTTGAAATACATTCGACAGACTGTCAAACTCAGTAGAGGAGGGATACTGTGTTGGGGCTGCTTTTCTTCAAACTTAGTTGGACCTCTAATCCTCATAGATGTATTCATGGACAGTGTGAAATATCGGGATATGATGCAAAATTATATGCTTTCTTACGCAAATGTAGCAATGAGTCCAAACATCAAACGAAAATTGCGAGAATTCCGCTTTGCCACAAAAAATGAGATTTGAGACTATTTGGATATCAGTCCATTTGTCAGTTCAGTCTATTTGGAGCTCAATTTCACAACGAACCACGGAAAAATTGATCGCAAGTATGCCAAACCGACTTCAGGAGATTATAAAAGCTAAAGGAGGCCCAACTCGATACTGAATTTTGTTAGAAATAAATAACTTTTAAAAATGTATCAGGACTTTTTGACCACTGTATATCTAGATCATAGGTGTTGACTATAACTTTAAAATTTTATCTTTTTAGGGTCTCAATCGCCGGATACAAACCTTGGGTCATTTCTCGCCGAAACCCGCGCCCTCTTTCATCCGAAACTCAAGAAACCTTCTTTTCGAGGAGAGGTCTTTATTTTCTTAGAATTGATCTTAAAGATTAACTATACTCTAAAGTATAATTTGTTAACTTAAACATTCCCGATTCTTTCAAAGCTTTTCTTTAGCTTCTCCACAAATCTCTTCGCGAACATGTTGGAACGTCCCGGCTTGGCGATATCGAAGCAAAGTAAAGACTTTCGACAAGACTTTTAGTTTTAATTCGGTAATTCATGTTTTGTTCCAGATTCGTCTGCACGTCTGTTGATGGAGCCATGATACCACCGAGACTGCTCATTTTTCGGTCTTACTTTTCAATGTTTTGTCTAAACTTTTATTTCCAGGAATTTCCCCATCGAAGTTCAGACAGACGAGGATCATCGAGAGGTGGAAATCGTCGACGCACTTATGGCATCAACGTTTGTTTTGTCGTTGTTGAACTTTATCATTTTTCCTTTATCGTTTTAGAGCGGCTCCTCTACTACTTCCCGTCTCTCCACTCGGTCTCTCCGATGGAGGAGTTCTCGCAAAGAATCCCAGTCTCGTCCTCTTGACTGAATATCATCGATTCTATGCGGTGAGCTGAAATGTTGTTTATGAATCATGTTTATTCTTTAGAAAGCCGTCCGCCATCCAACTCCTTCACTATTCCTTTCATTAGGCACTGGCTACAACGAGGCGAGACGCACAAGTGGAATTCATTTTGGAGATTTGCCGAAGAATCGCGTTTTCTTCGATCGGCGTAAGTTTTTATCAAGTGGACAGTTATTGGAACTTTACCTTTTTCAATCATTTCAATTTAGATTTTATGCGCACGACGAAGAATCTCTTTGACGTTTTTGTTAGCCAAGTGCGTGTATTTTTTGTAAAATCTGGCGATTTCAATCATTTCATTTTAGTCAACAAGCGGCGACACAGCATGTCTTGCTCAAGCAGCCGCTTGGTGTCTTGCTACGAGAAGTCCCTATTTTCGCATCAATCCGCCAATTTTTTTCAATCGACTTTAAAAGAGTAAATAAAAAATTGTATCAAATTTTAGAATCGGCTTTCATTGACATGTACTGATGCAGAGAAAGTAGCCGATTTTGTGGGGAGTCATGGTTTGTCTTTTTGTGTATTTAATTGCATTTTTATCAGCACTAGTCTTTTAGAATCTAAAGATATCCAAATCCAATTCATAATAGCTTTTTACAGTACTCGCTTAGGTTTATCTCCGCACGACGGCTCGCCATAATCTCGATCAACTCGCCAGTCTCATCAAAAGGTTGAAATCTTAGCTTGAGAAGTAGTCTATTTGTTAACTTTCTTAAGCTTTATTGATTAAATGATTTGCATTCTAGTTTTCTTTTACCGTTTGTTATTATGGCTAAAATAAAAGTTCTTTATTACAATCAGGAAAATCTTAATGGAATTTATTTTTTTACGGGTCGATCGCAGCTTCTTGGTGTTCCACCTAAAACAATGTGATGAGTAAAGTTCGAAACAAAGCTTTTAAAACGTACCTGACAAGCGTAGCATTTCTCCGTCAGCTCTGTCCAACACAATTTGCAATATGTGGCAGGGCATTGTTCACATTTGTGTGTTTGCCACGCGCGAAGATATGTCTAAAATTTGTGAAATGAAAAAATAACCCGAAAAGCAACCTTACTTGACATAAGAAACACTCAAATGGCCTGTACAAATTGTCGACGATCACGCGGCGTATCAATGAGTTTTTCGCGAAACAGAAGCTAAAATAAAAGATGAATTTATTCACCATATCAAAAGCTTTACTACAAATCATCATCGTCCTCATCTTCCTCATCTTTCTCTTCTTTTCGTTCTTTTCGCCATTTGACGAAGAAAGCAATGCGTCGACGAGCCTCTTCACGAGCAATCAAACGATGTTTCAAACACTAAAAAGTCAAAGAATCATTATTGATTAAAATCAGTTAGCCTTTCATCTAGGGTCTTTTGTAGTTTAACTTACAAAAGATTTTGCCAACAAACATACCAAGTTGTAGAGCCAAATCACACGAGCACGGGCTTTTCGGGGAAACATATAGGGCAAGAAGCAGAATAAGATCACTCGTTTTGGCAAAAATGCAAGCAAAATCTAGAAAAGTAAATCTTTCAGCAAAATAACCAAATCAACCTGGGAAAAGAACATGAAAAGCAATGGAAGAAAAATCGTACCCACATAAATGTCATAATCGGGTAGAGATGGCTTTAACTAAAGGAAAAATCACAAGCTATAAGCATCAAAATAATCTGTTTCTAATAAAACAAACCAAGCAATCATCCAAAACGAAAATCGGTTGAACAGTTTCGTTTTTAAGCTGGAAGAGTTTCCGCAGCATTTTCGGGAAGATCCCCACGCCCGTCACCTAAAGTGAGAAAGCAATTAGCAATCTACACTTTAACTCTAAACTGACAAAATAAACTGACGTTTAAATGAAGTGTCGGTAGTTGTATGCTTTTGATGCCTTTCGGGACCCCGTCAACTATCTAAAAAATAGGTATTAAAGGTAAAAAATAGGCACTAACGGCATTGATCGCCCGATAAAGCAAATGATCAACGGCTACAATTATTATCACCACCACACAAAGAGTCACAAATTTCGAAACGGGTAACCAGAATTGTTTTAATTCTTTCCATTTTGGAAACCTAAAATAAAGAGACTTTTAGGAGAGCAACACCATAAATCAAAACCTGAAATATTGGCTGGTAATCCCTAACTGCCGCTTCTCCAAGCTCGATAACTTTCCAATAAATGGAAGAGTCTTTTGATTTCTTGTTTCCCTCTCATTATCAATTTTACCGAAAGCACTTAACATACAAAACTTATTAGTTCAATTATTCTATTCAACTCACGAGGTAATACTCCGATTTTCGAAGCCCAAATCATTCGTGTACGCATCAGACATCTTGAAAGCTTTGTCAAAATCGAGATATATGACCAAAACGAGAAGGGCGGCGAGAACACTTTGCAAAGATTTGACAACTTCCTAAAATTAACAGTTATGAATATGTTTAAAGGTTGTTTAATGTTTCTAGACACGTATTTTTAACAAACTTATAAATGAAGGTTTGAATGTACCTTTGCTAATCGCATCAGATGAAGAATTCTTGCTTCCAGGGTTTTTATGTGAAGAGCTGATGCAACTCTCGGTGCCTCCACATTTACCACTCGAATCTAAAAGAAATATATGCAAGGACCAAACATCAAGAAAACCCCACCTTTGTCTCCATTTCTTCAGCAATTTGCTTTGAAATGCTACGCCTATCGATGCTTTCTCTTAAAGCCAAACATTTCGCTTGCCAAACAAAAACATACTGTTTCAAATCTTGTGGCGAATTTTTTCCTAGCACACTATTGCATACGTCGTAGCCTTGTTCTTTTCGTTTATCATCCTGAATTTGCTCATTGTCTCAAAAAAGTACGGGGTAACATACCTCACAAATATCCAAAGCGTCAAGCGGCTTGCAAATCAAAGTGCTCAACAAGAACGGCGCTTGTTGTTGACATTGTTCCTAAACAATAAACAATAACATTTCCTATCAGAAAAATCACTTTTAATGCAGCAAAAGCTTGTGAACAGATGAGACTCCCTTTATCGAAAATTTGCGTGCATTGCTGCTTCATCTTTTTGCCCATATCACGTACAAACTAAAATGGAAGTTAGTTTATTTATCGCCGAAAAAGTTGACACCTTTTCCTTGAATTTCGTGTAAAATGGCTTGCGAAAAGTGACCGTTCGATTATCCTCATTTAACATGTTTGTTCGTTGTGCCAAATCCTAAGAACAGCATCCTCAAATGGTTATCAACAAATCTTACCAAAGCCGATTGATCAATCATTCGATCCAACTTTTCATCATCACTTTCTAAACAATAACAATAACAACAATAAAAACAACAATAAACCACAATAAGCATAATCAAAATCGAAGTATTACCATACCTTTTACTTCTTTCTGATCAACGAACGAAAAATCTCCCTTCAACTCGAGAATTTTGGCTAAACAAAACAAAGCAAAAGAACTGATTATCTAAAAAGCTTATAACTTACTCAGCGTGTCTTTCAGCGTCTCACGCATAGGTCCAATCAGTGTCTTCCTTCGTGCAGACGCCAACTTAAGATGAAAAGTAAACATTTAAAGGTGTCGAAGATTAAAGATGTCACCTCCGTCGAGATTTTCACTCCGCAAACCACATTGTCGGTGGCAATCCTAGAATTTATGGATTAGCCATAGTAAATTACAAGATTACTTGAAATTCGTGATGATGTTGTCGATTGGACCAGCGCGAACATTGTCGAACACAAAGATGCTCAATAGGGCTAAAAGAAAGGCAATCATAAATCAAAAAAGTTTCCCACTTTGTCCACTTGTGCCAAAAACGCCTAGGACAAAGATCCATAGTCCACAACGATACGACTAAAAAGTAAACTTGAGTAAGTAACTGAAGTAACTGAAACAGAATAAACTCTACCTTGCTGTAGGCAAAAGCTAGCGTGTTTCCGATGATTACAATCCATTTTAGAATGATTGACGACACTTTGTGATATTCGATGGCAAAGTTGATATTTTTCCAGACGAGATAATATGAACCTAGAAAGAGTTGATTCATAAAAATACAAAACAAATGAAACTCACCAATTGAAAGGAAAAAGCCGATGAAAAGGTTGACGATGAAACGAAGCTTTGCGTAGTCAGTCGATTCACTAAACTTTTAAAAAAAGTAATAAGACTACATTAAAAGTAGTAAAGCTATGAAATAAAAAAATGAAATAAAAAGAATTGAATTATCAGCAAGCGTAGAACATGGGATACTCCCAAAAACTGATAGTAACCTTGTGAAGAAGAAATCGATGCAAATGTTCCATTTATATCGCTTCCTGAGTTTCTTTCTCTTCTCATCGTCGAATTTGAAAAACTTGAGGAGTTTGCGTGGCCGCATTGCAAGAAAAGTCGGAAGGAAATGGAAAATTTTGATGAAGAAATTTGAAGCCGAATTTATCAATTTTAATTTTCGAATGTTAATTTGCACGCAGAACCATTAAGCTGTTCACCAACAATTAAAAATTGTACACCTCACACAAAGTGAAAGTGAAAGTGAAAGTTGAAAGTTGTTGAAAAGTTTAAAACCCATTAAAAACTTGTCTAAAGGCTGGTCACTCAAAAAGTGACCAAAAACCAAAGCTGAAGAAATCTCTTATTTTTTACCTGAAGCCAACTCTGGTTTTTTTAGTCAAAAACTTTTTGAAATATAGACAAATTTATCAAAAAATCTGGGAAGGATTTATGGGTTGGTTTTTGAGAAATCACTGTGCAAACTTTTTCCTAGAACTCTCTTTCCAACCCAATACCACTTTGTTTAATGCACTGAAGTAACTATAAAGTATGCACCAAGCTTTCCTGGATTCGTTTTTAAGAAATTCCAGTCAAACTTTTTCCGAGAACGTTCTTTCCAACCCAATAATTCGAAAGGGGCCTTTCTCAGGTTAGAACCGCAAAGTTTTGTGTTAGCCCACTTCGGTAACTGCTTAATGCAAAAGCTTAGCTCAAAATTTAGGTGTTTGTTCATATTTTTGAATAAAGCATTTATATTTAGAAACAAAAATATGGCAACTCAGATACAGTTTGTCGTAAAAGCGCTAAAATTTTTCTTCTCGTTTTTCCATTAAATTATTTCGAGTCAAATATTATTAGGAAAAAATGTATGATTCTATCAAAAAAATGCTTTTTGAATCGAATCATTGTCACAACATAGACCTTCAAATCAGAAAATAGAAATTTGATGAGAAAATGAAGTCGTCAAATCAAATTCCAAAGTCTTAGTATTTATTTCAACAACTTTTCGTTTTTATATTAAACTTTCTCTTTTTACAATTCACATTTTTAAAAATTTGCTTTTTAGTTGTAAATGAAGAAAGAATTCGTTTTCTTGTTTGTGGCTTCACTGGCACTAATTGTGACAGCAAATGAAGGTACGTTTGTTTCGATCGATTACATTGTTCTTTTTTTGTTACCCAACTCGTCTACTGGCTATTTTTTAGAATGGATGGAAGAGTGCAAGAACCAGAGTGAAACCATTCAAATTCATTCGGCTGGTGGCAACTGGAGAAACCTTACGAGCGATGAGACGTCTAAGTAAGCGTGTTTCGTGAAAACTTTCCCGGGCTCCGCCCGGTGAAAACCTTGATGAGCTCGGACTCGATCAAGGCTTGCCCGCAGCTATGGTCCGGCTCTTGCCTCAAGGCTTTTTGATCGCCAGGGATAACCCCTCTCATTTTATCTTCATCTCTCAATTACAGTGAACGGTATGAGGTCTATCGAAAGTTCACGTGCACTGCTGATCCAGGCCATTTCGCGTTTGTTCAAGTAGGAGCTTCTTTTTCAGTTTATCCTCAAAAGTGTGTTTCAGATAAACGGCCAGATGGATTCACCGTCAGACACAAAAACTATCACTTGTGGATCGAAACGTAAATGGTTGTACAAAGGTGAAGTCGTTGTCTCTGTCGGATGCTACACGAGCCCACGGGCGGGTTTTTACGCTTAATTAGAGGCAAATAGGTTTAGTTAAAGGTATTAAAGGTAGCCAAGCATTTGAAAATTTTCTCGAGACAGCAAGCTTTTAGGCAAATTGGATCCAAAAGTCCGAAGAAGAGGAAAGAATTCAAAATTGGATGGGCCAGCATCACGGAGCTGGAGAGGATCAAAAGGATTGGACATGGGGCAGCACCCAGTATGAACAACAAAAGAAAATGCAGCGAATGGCTTCGGAAATCCAAAATCTTTTGGTTAACACCAATAATATGTAAGTTTTAGCTCACGATCAACGCGAAAAGGGTTCTTTTGCGTTATACATCCGCAAAAATCAACCCTCGATCACGTTACGAAGCTATTGCTCAATCAGAATCTCAAATGCAGATGCGACAAAACGTCCTGCTGGACAGCGATCGACCTGCGTGTTGGCTCATGGATGCCGAAGACCAAAATTCCGTTTCTCACAATCCTATGATTATGGATGGACTCAACAGTGAACCTCGATCAACTATTGTGCGAAAGAATTGGAGATAAATCACCGCGGTCGACTTCAACAACTAGGATTCTTTGCGTGGAATATCTGGTGAACAAGCTGAGAGGAAAAATTAGAGAACCCAATCGAATCGACGAAGTGGACGAGGCTCTCTTCTCGAAGCGAAAGGCGAACGTGGGCCGAATCTGGCCGCAAGTGTGGATATTTAGAGGAGTTTGCCGGGAAACCAAGGAATGTTTTCTGGTCAAGGTGACCGACCCTATTGGAAGCGATGATTGAACACATCAAGCCGGGAACCTAAATTGACTCCCATTGTTGGCGAGGATGCAATACTGAACAGATGGAGGAGGCCGGCTTTACCCATGCTCGTGTCAATAAGTACAACAAGTATGGAGAAACAAGAAGCATCGCGGCACGTCATTTCCTACCGAACTACCTCGCTGAATCCATGGTTCGACGAGAAGTGGGAAAGGACGATTTCTACGAATGGGTGTTGCAACAAATTGCTACGGCATGGATTGATCCTCATTCATTCCTCATTGATTAATAATCAGGGTTTATTTTTGTGAATGTATAACGGAAAGGAACCGCGAAAAGTTTCTGAATAAAACTTTGACTTGCAATGTTTTCTGTAATTTTCAGAATCAGGAAGCAAGTCGCCGTTGTACCGGCAGACTATGTGAATGCTTTTTGGGAAGGATGGTCTTTCTCAGAGGACAACTACTACATGAGAACGGGTTTCTTTGGCTTTGAAGGCGATAAATCTGTGTTGGAATTTGAGAATTATGTGATATTTGTGTTTCGTGGTGGCTTTCCAGAGAGATCAAAGCCTGATGCAAGAGAAGGAATCAGGTCAGACGAGTGTTTATTAGGCTGGCCTAGGAGTAATGGTGGAATTGCTGGGAGCTGGTCTCAAACTTGACCAATCTTTGGTCTTATTCGAAAGCTGTATTCACGAGGAACCCAGTAGCGGAGACCATTTGTTGATTCGTTCCGTTTTCAAATTTTTAGAAGCATTTAAGTGGTACTCAGTCAGCTTGGTTCCCAAAAAAAGTGTCAAAATCACATTTCAGGATCACTAAGTTTAACTGGGCGGTATGGCGACTCGTTGATGCGAGAGTCAAGGGTTCAACTCCTAGCTGTGACCAAATTTTGAACTTTTTTTGCAAAAAGACCAAGCAAGGAGATGCCAGAGCTTTCGAATAAGATCAAACACGTCAACTTTGGTTTGGTTTGAGATCATCTGTCAGTCAATCCGTCATTGTTGGCCAGCCTAATATATGGGCTAGCTTGTTATAATGAAGGTCGGGCCGCAAACCCAATTACTTTTTCAAAAAATTTAATTAGAGGGGTTCGAATTTTAACAGTTCCTAGTGAACAGTTATGAAGTAAAATCAAAAGTACGTTAGGGTTAGGATCTGTTTACAAGGGTTTGGAAAACATTTTAACATTTTACATTTCTTTGCTTGAAAACTTAAGCTGGCGATCACTGGTCAGAGTCAGAATTGAGATAATACTTTATTTTAGTCGTTACTTTCAAGACACTTTGATATGGGGACAACGACATGACGAGATCCAATCGCTAGCAGAGGATTTATGGACTTATGGTGATAGATGGGAAGCACGTGTCGACATTGTGACTGTTTTTCGAAAAGGAGCAAATCACAAAACGTGCACTTATCTCTACGGAGCATCTGGTGATTGGATGATTACTGAGGTGAAGACGTGGAGTCGGCCATGTGTATTTGGATGTGGAGATGTTTGTGTTGTGCATTTAACGGCTTGATATCTTTTGAATAAAGGAATACATGAAAAAGATTCCAAGTAACGCAAGAAAGCAGAAAAAAAGAAATGCGGCCTTAAAACAAAGTCCCTTAATTTTTTAAGTGGTTTTTCATGGAGTTGACATTTTAAAATTGAACAATAGTTGATTACATTCACATCTTTGAAATAGTTTTCTCGATTTGATTTCATTAATTCCATTTAGATTCCTTTAAAACTTAAAAATGTCTCCAAATAACCAGCCTTAAAACTAAGTCCCTAAATTTTAAAATGACTCTTCATGTAGTTGACATTTTAAAATTGAACAATAGTTACATTCAAATCTTTAAAATAATTTTCTGAATTTCATTAATTCCATTTAGATTCATTTAAAACTTAAAAATGTCTTCAAATAACCAGCAAAATCACAAAACGAGCAATGGAAATCTTTGCGCTTCTTCTTTTGACATCATGCCTGGTTATTTGAAAGGTTCAAGGAAGTTGGAGTAGGTCTTTCGTATAACTATTCCGGCACAATCGTATAATTTAATCCAAATGCCTTCAAATTGAACTTGTTGAGAATGTTCTCCATAGTCGCATTATCCATCGGCTTAATTGAGTTGTCGTATTGCTTTTTGCCGAGGATAGTTTCTGTTGCCAGATGTTGCGTCACCTAAAATTAGATGTTGTGTGCTACAATTTTCGACATTACAATTTGATGTTTCGCTTCCAAGAATTTCAGGAGCCCATGAGACCTCATTTCTGGAATTCGGCCAGCAGGATCAACGAACTTGTCTAAAAGATTTTTTGTTTAAAGCAAGAAGCAACAAACTTGAAATGTAGATGATCATGATCGTAGCTCTTGCACCAAGGATTTTGCGTTGATTCTTTGCCTGAATAATAGATGATTAAGCCACTACTTTCAATTAAGACGACCTTGGCAAATAGATTTCCAGTTCGAACTTCATCGTCAAGATTTGTTGGCGCATTTTCGACTTCAAGTGAGCGAATTGTTATTCCTTTGCGGTCCGTTTCGATTTGAAACGCTCGGCAAACGCTTGAATTTGTGGTAGAACTTGTGGGTTTTCATTCCATGCAATGTAACTAAAATGCAAAGATACACTTGTGCAAATGCAGAGCGAAAAGCGGTTTTTAATTGTAACTTAACGTACCGCTTGTCCACAACAGCGCCCTCAGTGTAAGTTTCTTTTCCCTGTTTCCAGCCAGCTTTCTTTAAATCTGTAGGCACAGATCTCGATGCGCCATATTGAACTTTCGGAGCAGGTCGACGGAAGCCAGTAACTTGCAAAGGCTTTGAATCAACAGAGATGCCAAATCTTAAAAGGTAACTTTAGACGACCTAAATATTTGATAGAACCTACCCAGCCATAATTGGAGAGTTCCTTGAAAGATCAAGCTCGTCGAGATGATTTTTGATCCCCGGATCCCATTGAACTTGATGAACGCCTTCCCATTTGTTCAGTTGAGCACTGAAAATCGATATTATTGATCAAGCAAATGTCTCTTACATTGTTTCACCAAGTCCGTTCGCCTTGTAAAAAGTTCCAATCTTCGCATCCAATACAAGGGCCGCCACTAATCGAGCATCTGGCGTGGTTTCCTTGTACTCGGCGCCTTCAATGAAGCGGATTCCCTGAAAAGTTTCGTATAGGTAAATTTTGAAAAGCAACCTTAGTTAGACCCTGGCGACGTTCTTGTCCATTTCCAATATTATAGCAAGTATCCCTATTGTCGATCTTCAAAAAAGCCTTGCCTGCCCCATAGAAGACATAACTTCCCCTAAAAAGCGAGTTAAATAAAAATTAGGTTACTGACTTTTTGAGGGCTCCTTCGTTGGTAAGCAATTCATAAAATTGTCGAAGAGGACGGTCACTTTCTCCGTTGGCAATCTTCGCTTCCGCATCTCCAATAGTGAAGTGATGAGCTGAATCACTAAAATATCGTTTTTGTTTATTAAAAATAAAAACTTTACGTGCAAGGGCGAATGGTGATACGAATATCCTTTGCTTCTCCTGAAACAAGGATGGACCTGATGTTTGGATGGAGCTACAGGCAGAGTGAGAGTGGCGTTATGCTAAATAACAAATCAGAATGTTAAGAAACCATAGATAAACCGGTTTCAGAGCCATAGCGAGGTCTTTGTTTGAAAAAAGGATAGTAGTTCCATCGAAGACTGTAACACCAGTTTCGCTGAGAATACGATAAGCCTCCAAAGCCGCTTTGAGAGCGGCACGAACTGCTTCCGAACGACGAGTCATCAGCGTACTTTCTTGTTTCAACGCCCGTCACCAAGTCAGCACTCACGTCGTAGCGGGAGACCTCACGATTTGGATCGGTACGAATTGGAAAGATGTTTGTTGCAAGCTTCACCTAAACAACGAAGAGAATTGAATGGTATAAACGTTAACTCTCACCACTTCCATTCCAGTTCGGTTAGCTGGCTCAATCCGTGGATGAATCTTCTCTGTGTACACAATTGGAGCAAATCGATCGGCAGCTTCGCCTTGCGAGAGCAAATCGAATTGAGAATTGCTTGACTTGAACACTTGAAGTCGTTGTTCCATCGGATGTGCTCGAGACTAAAATAAGAAAATTGTATCTGAAAATCACTACGCTTTTTTAACGCTGATTGCTTAGGTGACTACAATACAATAATCTTAACGAGCGACTCGCAGCTGCTAGATAAGGAAGCAATTCCCCTCTGAAAAAATCTTATTGAATGATCTAATTTCACTCCTTATTAAACCTAAGCATAAACCTATAGATTATTATGACAAGTCAAACTAAGCAAGACTTAATGCCTAATACTATTCAAAGATCTAAATCTCTAAAAGTTCATCCAAACCATACCACTAAGACATTCCATGCGTTCGGCTAAATCCGAATCCGTTGAGAGTGACTTCGCTCGTTGCAGGTTGGCGATGCTGGCTCTCTCGGATCCGCTGTCATCTTGGTTTCGTTGATGAGCATCATCGTATCGTCCACGGTTTCCTCCCCAACCACCTCGATCTCCTCCCCAGCCTCCACTTCCTCCGCGAATTCCACGTCCGCCACCTCGTCCACCACACCACCGACCGCCGCCTCGTCCAAATTCGTGATAGTCTCGTCCACCATCTGGAAAGTCGCCTTCTCGGAAGTTGCCTCGTCGTCCACGCCTTGTCCACGTCCTCCTTCTCGACCGCCTCTGTCGACTTGGTCCCGGTCGTTTTCGTTTGGTTGTTTGCTACGTTTCCAAGTGTACATCACTAAAAAATACAAGTCAACAAATGTCATAATCCGTGAGCAGCTTTCCGTGTACCACTTTCCGTGTACATTAACAAAAATTATAAATTTAATAAAAAAATATGCACAACAAAACGAAGAATTTCAAATAACAACAGCAAAGTCGGGTGCGCTTAAGAACTTGAAACGCACTATATTTTTGATTTTTCCACTTTTCTTGGGGTAATCGAGGGCGCTGCGCACGAATTTGACAGTTTTAGAATAGGTTCTCAATCGGAAAGCCGACATTTTGACACGTTGAAATCTACCCTTTTCTTGCACTTTAAATGCAACTTTAAATTTGTGTACTCAAGCTATCGACTATTGGGGCACTTCTCAAGGTCAAAACTAGACCCAAAATCATTTTTAAACACATAAATATTGATTTTTTTTTAACTTAAATTGACTGGTAGAGAGGTAAAACAAATTGAAAAAATATTTTTTGAGATTTGAACTCATGTGGGGGACCAAATGGTCGAAATTTGGAAAAAATACTTTTTTTTTTTATTTCGCTTTAATTTGAGTAGAAACGTAATCAGTAGGTTAAATTATGCGCTTTGAAGCCCCAAAACTGGACTTAAACTCATTTTCTCAAGCTCTCGTTACGTTTTTCGGAATCTACGCATAAAGCTACCCGAGAAGAAGTGGTTTTGAAGAAAAAAAGTGCCCCCCTTCCCAACCTGAATAGCGCCTGGAAGCGTAATTTTAAACATGTCGAAATGTTGGTTTTTCAGTTGAAATGCTAAAAATTTATGTTTATTAGTTTGCACAGTGTCGTTTAACCATAAGTCGCTGCACGCTAGCAGAGCGTGCAGCGACTTATGGTTATAACTGGGCAGGACGTATCGACATTGTGAATGTTCTTCGAAAAGGATCAAATCACAAAACGTGCACTTATCTCTATGGAGCATCTGGTGATTGAATGATTTCTGAGGTGAAGATGCGCTTTAATCCCAAAGATATTCTCCGTTGTTGGCAATAGTCTTTCTCCATTTTTCTTGCAAACCTCGGATCCCTTTGCTGAAGAAGTACTGAGGCTGCAAGTCGAAGTATTGGCCTAGTTGATTATATTCACATTTTTAAAATAGTTTTCTCAATTTGATTTCATTAATTCCATTCAGCTTCCTTTAAAACCTAAAAATATGAAAACCTAGTAAAAAAATAACATTTAATAATCAATTGAACCTTGATTTTGGCGAATATTGAACCATCTTCAGGGTAACATTAAACCATCGATCAGCCGGTTCCTTTGGTTTCTCCGTTGAAAAACGAACAGCTTCGAGTTTGAACGAAAATGAGTAAGCCTTTCGCTTGACTTTTGCTCTTAGACTTTTTTGAATTCGGCATTACCTAAGAAAGAAAAATTAGTAACGCAATAAAATCTGAAAAACATCGGAAAAAAAAAGACGAAACGGAATAAAACTACACTTTCGGGTTGACTTTTCGTATTTCGGATACAATAATTTTAGCGAAAAATAGAAAAGAAGTGATACCTGGAATCAAAGACCGGTGTTATATTCAACCTGGTCTTCTCTTTTTTCGATCACCCTCTAGATCTCGTCTTCTATTAAAGGCGGTCTTCTATTCGTAGAAATACGGTAGACAAAACATAAACAATAAACAAAACATAAACAATAAACAAAACAAACCAAAATTCTCGGACGCCATTTCCGGACCCATTTTCGTTTTCATCACTAAGCAAGATAGTTTGAAAACTATTGTGTAAATAATTAAAAACTTATCTTATTTCCCGTTCATCATCGTAGTCTTTACTAAACATTGAGGCAAATGGAGTGCTTCTGATTCCATAGTGGTATCTTCTATTTTTCATGAGCTATTGTGAATCTTCATTTCGGCAGTTTATTTCTGAATAAAGTATTCATATATAAAAACAAAAATATGACTACTCAGATACTGCACTGGTACTACAGTTTATCGCAAAAGAGCTGAAATTTGTCTTCTCTTTTTTCCATTAACTTCTTTTAAGCCATTCATTAAATAGGAAAAAGAAAAAATGTATGCTTCTATTAAAAATATTCTTTTTGGATTGAATCATTTTCCAGACACCACATAGACCTTTAAATTCCGAATTTCGACTTTCAACTTGACAACTTCATTTTATTCAATTTTTTAGTATTTATTTGAACAACTTCTCGTTTTTTACTAAACTTTATCTTTTTACAATTCACATTTTATAAAATTTGCGTTTCAGTTGGCTGTAAATGAAGAAAGAATTCTTTCTTGTTTGTGGCGTTTTCTTCGCTGGCACGAATTGTGGCACCAAATACAGGTTCGTTTGTTTCGATCGATTACTTTGTTCTTTTTTTTCTTACCCAACTCGTCTACTGGCTCTTTTTGGAGAATGGATGGAAGAGTGCAAGAACCAGAGTGAAAAAAATTGTCATTCATTCGGCTGATGGCAACTGGAAAAACTTTTCGAGTGATGTGACGTCTCAGTAAGAGTTGTTTCGTGAAAGATTTTCCGGGCCCCGCACGGTCAAAGCCTTAATGAGCTTGGACCCGATTAAGGCTTGCTCCGAGCCATAATCCGGCCCTTGCCTCAGGGCTTTTTGGTCGCGAGAGAAAACCCTTTTCATTTTATCTTCATCTCTCAATTACAGTCAATATTATGACTGTAAGGCCTATCGAAGGCTCACGTGCATCGCTGATCCAGACAATTTTTCAGCATTGGTTAATCTACATTAAAATCTTTAAATTTGGCGCTGTTTTGAACGGCGCGATTTTTGTATGGGCGCTGTTTTGAACGACGCTGTTTTGAACGGCGCTGTTTCGGCGGCGCTATTTTGACTAGGTCCCAAAAATTTATGTTTATTAGTTTGCAGAGTGTCGTTTAACCATAAGTCGCTGCACGCTAGCAGAGCGTGCAGCGACTTATGGTTTTGAACTTTTTGAATCGAATCATTGTCACAACATAGATCTTTAAATCAGAAAATAGAAATTTGATGAGAAAATGAAGTCGTCAAATCAAATGCCAAAGTCTTAGTATTTATTTCAACAACTTCTCGTTTTTTACTAAACTTTATCTTTTTACAATTCACCTCTGATAAAATTTGCTTTTCAGTTGGCTGTAAATGAAGAAAGAATTCGTTTTCTTGTTTGTGGCGTTTTCTTCGCTGGCACAAATTGTGGCACCAAATGCAGGTCCGTTTGTTTCGATCGATTACTTTGTTCTTTTTTTTCTTACCCAACTCGTCTAATGACTAATTTTTTAGAATGGATTGAAGAGTGCAACAGCCAGAGTGAAAAAAAATGTCATTCATTCAGCTGATGGCAACTGGAAAAAGTTTTCGAGTGAGGTGACGTCTCAGTAAGAGTTATTTCGTGAAAGATTTTCCGGGCCCGGCACGGTCAAAGCCGGATTATGGCTTGCTCCGAGCCATAATCCGGGCCTTGCCTCAGGACCTTTTTGGTCGCTAGAGAAAACCCTTCTCATTTTATCTTGATCTCTCAATTACAGTCAACGGTATGAGGTCTATCGAAAGTTCACGTGCACTGCTGATCCAGACCATTTCGCGCTTGTTCGAGTGGGAGTTTCTTTTTCAGTTTATCCTCAAAAATGTGTTTCAGATAAACGACCAGATGGATTCACCGTCAGAAACAAAAACTATCACTTGTGGATCGAAACGTAAATGGTTGTACAAAGGTGAAGTCGTTGTCTCTGTCGGATGCTACACGAGCCCACGGGCGAGTTTTTACGCTTAATTAGAGGCAAATAGGTTTAGTTAAAGGTATTAAAGGTGACCAGGCATTTGAAAATTTTCTCGAGACAGCAAGCTTTTAGGCAAATTGGACCCAAAAGCCCGGAGAAGAGGAAAGGATTCGAAATTGGATGGCCGAGAATCACGGAGTTAAAGAGGATCAAAAGGATTGGACATGGGGCAGCACCCAGTATAAACAACAAAGGAAAATGCGGCGAATGGCTTCGGAGATCCAAAATCTTTTGGTTAACATCGATTATATGTAAGTTTTAGCTCACTTTCAACCCTATTGAAAGCGATGATTGAACACAGTTTGTCGTAAAAGCGCTAAAATTTTCTTCTCGTTTTTCCATTAAATTATTTAGAGTCAAATGTTATTCGGAAAAAAAGGAAAAAAAAATGTATGATTCTATCAAAAAAATGCTTTTTGAATCGAATCATTGTCACAACATAGACCTTTAAATCAGAAAATAGAAATTTGATGAGAAAATGAAGTCGTCAAATCAAATTCCAAAATCTTAGTATTTATTTGAACAACTTTTCGTTTTTATACTAAACTTTCTCTTTTTAAATTCACATTTTTAAAAATTTACTTTTTAGTTGTAAATGAAAAAGGAATTAGTTTTCTTGCTTGTGGCTTCACTGACACAAATTGTGACAGCAAATGAAGGTCCGTTTGTTTCGATCGATTACTTTGTTCTTTTTTTGTTACCCAACTCGTCTACTGGCTCTTTTTTTAGAATGGATGCAAGAGTGCAAGAACCAGAGTGAAACCATTCAAATTCATTCGGCTGGTGGCAACTGGAGAAACCTTACGAGTGATGAGACGTCTAAGTAAGCGTGTTTCGTGTAAACTTTCCCGGGCTCCGCCCGGTGAAAACCTTGATGAGCTCGGACTCGATCAAGGCTTGCCCGCAGCTATGGTCCGGCCCTTGGCTCAAGGCTTTTTGGTCGCTAGAGACAACTCTTATCATTTTATCTTCATCACTCAATTACAGTCAATATTTTTGGATCCAACGAACGTTCACGTGCACTGCTGATCCAGACCATTTCGCGCTTGTTCGAGTGGGAGTTTCTTTTTCAGTTTATCCTCAAAAATGTGTTTCAGATAAACGACCAGATGGATTCACCGTCAGACACAAAAACTATCACTTGTGGATCCGGGCGTAAATGGGTGTACAAAGGTGAAGTCGTTCTCAATGTTGGATGCTACACAAGCACACGGGTGAGTTTTTACGTTTAGCTCAGGGTATTGCGAAAAAAAAGTTGTTAGTAAATCCACGGGAGGCAGCAGGGACAAGAAACTTTTAGGCAGATTGGATCCTAAAGTCCGAAGAAGAGGAAAGAATTCGAAATTGGATGGGCGAGCATCACGGAGCTAAAGAGGATCAAAAGGATTGGACATGGAGCAGCACCCAGTATGAACAACAAAAGAAAATGCAGCGAATGGCTTCGGAAATCCAAAATCTTTTGGTTAACACCGATAATATGTAAGTTTTAGCTCACGATCAACGCGAAGAGGGTTCTTTTCCGTTATACTCGACTTCAACAACTAGGATTCTTTGCGTGGAATATCTGGTGAACAAGCTGAGAGGAAAAATGGAGAAACCAATCGAATCGACGAAGTGGACGAGGTTCTCTGCTCGAAGCGAATGTGGGCCGAATCTGACCGCAAGTGTGGATATTTAGAGGAGTTTTCCGGGAAACCAAGGAATGTTTTCTGGTCAACGCTCATGTCAATAAGTACAACTTTCTGAATCCTGATGACCCTGTCATTCACACGCAGACGATCTGGCGTCTAGAGGGGAAATGGAGAAACAAGAAGCATCGCCGAACGTCAGTTCCTACCGAACTACCTCGCTGAATTCATGGTTCGACAAGGAGTGGAAAAGGACGATTTCTACGAATGGGTGTTGCAACAAATTCATACGGCATGGATTCCTCATTGATTGATGATCAGAGGTTATTTTTGCGGATGTATAACGGAAAAGAACCGCGAAATTTCTGGAAAAAATTTTGAGTTGCAATGTTTTCTGTGATTTTCAGCATCAGAAAGCAAGTCGCCGTTCTACCGGCAGACTATGTGAATGCCTATCGGGAACAACAGGCTTCCTCAGAGAACAACTACTACATGAGAACGGGTTTCGTTGGCTTCGGAGACGATAACTCTGTGCTGGAATTTGCGAACTATTTGGTATTTGTATTTCGTGGTGGCTTTCCAAAGAGATCAAAGCCTAATGCAAAAGAAGGAATCAGGTCAGACGAGTGTTTATTAGGCTGGCTAATAAGTAATGGTGGATTTGCTGGAAGATGATCTCAAACTTAACCAATCTTGGTCTTATTCGAAAGCTGTATTCAAGAGGAACACAGTAGCGAAGACCATTTGTTGATTCGTTCCGTTTTCGAATTTTTATAAGCATTTAAGTGGTACTCAGTCAGCTTGGTACCCAAAAAAGTGTCAAAATCACATTTCAGGATCATTAAATTTTAGCTAGGGCTTGGCGATTTGTTGATCCGAGGGTCGAGGGTTCGAGTCCCAACTGTGACCAAATTTTCAACTTTTTTTGCAAAAAGACCAAGCAAGGAGATGCCACAAAATGGTCTTAGCAGATATTGACGCCGTCGAAATGCAAACGCCAAGCGGACTCGGTGAATCTGATGCCGTATTCAGTTTTTGTCCATATTCAAAAACACACAGGAAAAACGCATCCAAAGATTGGGTGTCTACTCGGAGAAATCGTGCCGCTGGAACGAACATATTTTTAGCCTAGGTTTTTAACCGAAAAATTGACGAAATGTGGTTTTGACACTTTTTTCGGTCTGAGCGAGCTCACTTAAATGCTTATCAATATTTTAAAACCGAACGAATCAAAAAATGGTTTTCGGAACTGTGTTCCTATTGAATACAGCTTTCGAATAAGTCCAAACGCGTTAAGATTGGTTAAATTTGAGACCATCTGCCAGCAAATCCGTATTATGGACTAGCTGGACAAATAATATTATGGACTAGCTTCTTATAATCAAGATCGGGCCGCAAACCCAAATACATTTTTGAAAATTAAATCCTAGGTGTTCTTGAATAGTTCCTAGTAAACGGTTATGAATACTTATCAATAGAAAATGTAATTTTGACTGAAATAAAATCAAAAGCACGTTAGGATCAGGCCGGGATCGAGCCTGGCTTTTTACAACCCTGTTTACAATAGTTTGAGAAACTTCTGGTCTTTTTGGTGGTTGGGGGGCCACCTAAATTTTTGATTTTTTCACTTTTCTTGGAGTAATCGAGGGCGCTGAGCACGAATTTGACAGTTTTAGAATAGGTCCTCAATCGAAAGCCGACATTTTGACACGTTGAAATCTACCCTTTTCTTGCACTTTAAATGCAACTTTAAATTCGTATACTCAAGCTATCGACTATTGGGGCACTTCTCAAGGTCAAAACTAGACCCAAAATCATTTTTAAACACATAAATATTGATTTTTTTTTTAACTTAAATTGACTGGTAGAGAGGTAAAACAAATTGAAAAAATATTTTTTGAGATTTGAACTCATGTGGGGGACCAAATGGTCGAAATTTGGAAAAAATACTTTTTTTTTATTTCGCTTTAATTTGAGTAGAAACGTAATCAGTAGGTTAAATTATGCGCTTTGAAGCCCCAAAACTGGACTTTAACTCATTTTCCCAAAGTCCCGTTGTGTTTTTCGGAATTTACGCATAAAGCCACCCGAGAAGAAGTGGTTTTGAAGAAAAAAAGTGCCCCCCTTCCCAACCTTAATAGCGCCTAGCAGCGTAATTTTCTACGTGTCGAAATGTTGGTTTTTCAGTTGAAATGCTAAAAATTTATGTTTATTAGTTTATTATCTTATGCTAAAAATGACAAATTCGTGCACAGCGCTCTCGATTACACCTAGAAAAGTGGAAAATCAAAAATATAGGTGGCCCCTAACCATCAAAGTACCAAACTTCTTTACATTTCTTTGAGTCAGCATTGAGAAAATACTTTATTTTAGTCGTTACTTTCAAGACTTTCAAGACCCTTTTGAATGGCGAGAACGACATGACGAGATCCAATCGCTAGCAGAGCGTGCAGCGACTTATGGTTATAACTGGGCAGGACGTATCGACATTGTGACTGTTTTTCGAAAAGGAGCAAATCACAAAACGTGCACTTATCTCTATGGAGCATCTGGTGATTGGATGATTTCTGAGGTGAAGACGTGGAGTCGGCCATGTTGGGCTGATGGTGATGTTTGTGTTGTGTTGTGGCATTCGCCATGTCCACTTGGATGTGGAGATGTTTGTGTTGTGCATTTAACGGCTTGATATCGTTTGAATAAATGAATTCATGAAAAAGATTCCAAGTAACGCAAGAAAACAAGAAAAAAGAAATGCGGCCTTAAAAAAGGCCCTAAATTTTAAAATGATTTTTCGCTAGCAGAGCGTGCAGCGACTTATGGTGATAAATGGGAAGGACGTATCCCCATTGTGACTGTTTTTCGAAAAGGAGCAAATCACGAAACGTGCACGTATCTCTATGGAGCCTCTGGTGACTGGATGATTTCTGAGGTGAAGACGTGGAGTCGGCCATGCCAAATGTTTACTTTTCTTCGTAAGCTGGTGTCTGCACGAACGAAGACACTGATTGGACCTATGGGTGAAACGCTGAAAAACACGCTGAGTAAGTTATAAGCTTTTTAGATAATCAGTTCTTTTGCTTTGTTTTGTTTAGCCAAAATTCTCGAGTTGAAGGGAGATTTTTCGTTCGTTGATCAGAAAGAAGTAAAAGGTATGGTAACACTTCGATTTTGATTATGCTTATTGTTGTTATTGTTGTTTTTGTTATTGTTTAGAAAGTGATGATGAAAAGTTGGATCGAATGATTGATCAATCGGCTTTGGTAAGATTTGTTGATAACCATTTGAGGATGCTGTTCTTAGGATTTGGCACAACGAACAAACATGTTAAATGAGGATAATCGAACGGTCACTTTTCGCAAGCCATTTTACACGAAATTCAAGGAAAAGGTGTCAACTTTTTCGGCGATAAATAAACTGACTTTCATTTTATTTTGTACGTGATATGGGCAAAAGATGGAGCAGCAATGTACGCAAATTTTCGATAAATGGAGTCTCATCTGTTCACAAGCTTTTGCTGCATTAAAAGTGATTTTTCTGATAGAAAATGTTTTTGTTTATTGTTTAGGAACAATGTCAACAACAAGCACCTTCTTTCTTGTTGAGCACTTTGATTTGCAAGCCGCTTGACGCTTTGGATATTTGTGAGGTATGTTACCCCGTACTTTTTTGAGACAATGAGCAAATTCAGGATGATAAACGAAAAGAACAAGGCTACGACGTATGCAATAGTGTGCTAGGAAAAAATTCGCCACAAGGTTTTGAACAGTTTGTTTTTGTTTGGCAAGCTAAATGTTCGACTTTTAGAGAAAGCATCGATATGCGTAACATTGCAAAGCAAATTGCTGAAGAAATGGAGACAAAGGTGGGGTTTTCTTGATGTTTGGTCCTTGCATATATTCCTTTTAGATTCGAGTGATAAGTGTAGAGGCACCGAGAGTTGCATCAGCTCTTCACATAAAAACCCTGGAAGCAAAAATTCATCATCTGATGCGATTAGCAAAGGTACATTCAAACCTTCATTTATAAGCTTGTTAAAAATACGTTTCTAGAAACATTAAACAACCTTTAAACATGTTCATAACTGTTAATTTTAGGAAGTTGTCAAATCTTTGTAAAGTGTTCTCGCCGCCCTTCTCGTTTTGGTCATCTATCTCGATTTTGACGAAGCTCTCAAGATGTCTGATGCGTACACGAATGATTTGGGCTTCGAAAATCGGAGTATTACCTCGTGAGTTGAATAAAATAATAGAACTAATAAGTTGTGTATGTTAAGTGCTTTCCGTAAAATCGATCATGAGAGGGAAACGAGAAATCAAAAGGCTCTTCCATTTATTGGAAAGTTATCGAGCTTGGAGAAGCGGCAGTTAAGGATTACCAGCCAATATTTCAGGTTTTGATTTACGATGTTGCTCTCCTAAAAGTCTCTTTATTTTAGGTTTCCAAAATGGAAAGAATTAAAACAATTCTGGTTGCCCGTTTCGAAATTTGTGACTCTTTGTGTGGTGATGGTAATAATTGTAGCCGTTGATCATTTGCTTTATCGAGCGATCAATGCTGTTAGTGCCTATTTTTTACCTTTAATACCTATCTTTTAGATAGTTGATGGGAGCCCGCATTTTCGTTCAAACTCGAAGCTGTTCGTTTTTCAACGGAGAAACCAAAGGAAGCGGCTGATCGATGGTTTAATGTTACCCTGAAGATGGTTCAATATTCGACAAAATCAAGGTTCAATTGATTATTAAATGTTATTTTTTTACTCGGTTTTTACATTTTTAAGTTTTAAAGGAAGCTGAATGGAATTAATGAAATCAAATTGAGAAAACTATTTTGAAGATGTGAATGTAATCAACTATTGTTCAATTTCAAAATGTCAACTACATGAAAAATCACAAAAATGAAGGGACTTTGTTTTAAGGTCACATTTCTTTTTTTTCCGTTCTCTTGCGTTACTTGGAATCTTTTTCATGAATTCATTTATTCAAGCAGTCAAATGCACAACACAAACATCTCCACATCCAAGTCCACATGGCCGACTCCAGGTCTTCACCTCAGTAATCATCCAATCACCAGATACTCCATAGAGATAAGTGCACGTTTTGTGATTTGCTCCTTTTCGAAAAACAGTTAGAATGTCGACACGTTCTTCCCAGTAATCACCATAAGTCCATAAATGCGCTGCTAGAGATTGGATCTCGTCATGTCGTTCTCGCCATTTCAAAATGTCTTGAAAGTAACGACTAAAATAAAGTATTGTCTCAATTCTGACTCTGACCAGTGAGCCAGCTTAAGTTTTAAAGCAAAGAAATGTAAAGAAGTTTTCCAAACCCTTGTAAACAGGGCTGAAAAAAGCCAGGCCCGATCCTGACCCTAACGTACTTTTGATTTTATTTTTTAGGTCAAAATTACATTTTTTATTTATAAGTATTCATAACTGTTCACTAAGAACTGTTCAAGAACCCCTTTAATTGAATTTTTTGAAAAGGTATCTGGGTTTGCGGCCCGACCTTCCTTATAACAAGCTAGCCCATATATTAGGCTGACCAACAAGTAATGATGGATTGACTGACAGATGGTCTCAAACCAAACCAAAGTTAACGTGTTTGATCTTATTCGAAAGCTCTATTCAATAGGAACACAGTTGCGAAAACCATTTTTTGACTCGTTCGGTTTTCAAATTTTTATAAGCATTTAAGTCAGCTCGGTCAGACCGAAAAAAGTGTCAAAATCACATTTCGTCAATTTTTCGGTTAAAAACCTAGGCTAAAAACATGTTTTTCGTCATCAGTAAAATTCCCTTAGATAGCGTAAACTTTTTCGTCTTTTTGCAAAAAAAAGTTGAAAAGATTTGGTCACAGTTTGGAGTCGAACCCTCGACCCTCGGATCAACGAATCGCCAAGCCCTAGCCAAAATTTAATGATTCAAAATTTGAAAACGGAACGAATCAACAAATGGCCTTCGATACTGTGCTCCTATTGAATAGAGCTTTCGAATAAGACTAAAGATTGGCTTAGTTTGAGACCAGCTCCCAGCAAATCCACCATTACTTATTAGCCAGCCTAATAAATCCTCGTCTGACCTAATTTCTTCTCTTGCATCAGGCTTTGATCTCTCCGGAAAGCCACCACGAAACACAAATATCACATAATTCTCGAATTCCAGCACAGAGTTATCGTCTTCAAAGCCAAAGAAACCCGTTCTCATGTAGTAGTTGTCCTCTGAGAAAGCCTCTCCTTCCCAAATAGCATTCACATAGTCTGCCGGTACAACGGCGACTTGCTTCCTGATTCTGAAAATTACAGAAAACATTGCAAGTCAAAGTTTTATTCAGAAACTTTTCGCGGTTCCTTTCCGTTATACATTCACAAAAATAACCCCTGATTATTAATCAATGAGGAATCAATGGGGATCAATCCATGCCGTAGCAATTTGTTGCAACACCCATTCGTAGAAATCGTCCTTTCCCACTTCTCGTCGAACCATGGATTCAGCGAGGTAGTTCGGTAGGAAAATTCCCGGCTCGATGTGTTCAATCATCGCTTCCAACAGGGTCGGTCACCTTGACCAGAAAACATTCCTTGGTTTCCCGGCAAACTCCTCTAAATATCCACACTTGCGGCCAGATTCGGCCCACATTCTCCTTTCGCTTCGAGAAGAGAGCCTCGTCCACTTCGTCGATTCGATTAGGTTCTCCAATTTTTCCTCTCAGCTTGTTCACCAGATATTCCACGCAAAGAATCCTAGTTGTTGAAGTCGACCGCGGTGATTCATCTCCAATTCTTTCGCACAATAGTTGATCGAGGTTCACTGTTGAGTCCATCCATAATCGTAGGATTGCGAGAAACGGAATTTTGGTGCTCTGCATCCATGAGCCAACACGCAGGTCAATCGCTGTCCAGCAGGACGTTTTGTCGCATCTACATTGGAGATTCTGATTGAGCAATAGCTTCATAACGTCATCGAGGGAAATGATCGAGGGTTGATTTTTGCGGATGTATAACGGAAAAGAACCCTTTTCGCGTTGATCGTGAGCTAAAACTTACATATTATCGGTGTTAACTAAAAGTTTATAGATTTCCGAGGCCATTCCCTGCATTTTCTTTTGTTGTTCATACTGGGTGCTGCTCCATGTCCAATCCTTTTGATCCTCTCTAGCTCCGTGATGCTCGCCCATCCAATTTCGAATTCTTTCCTCTTCTTCGGACTTTTGGATCCAATCTGCCTAAAAGCTTGCTGTCTCGAGGAAATTTTCAAATGCCTGGCTACCTTTAATACCTTTAACTAAACCTATTTGCCTTTAATTAAACGTGAAAACTCACCCGTGTGCCTGTGTAGCATCCAACATTGAGAACGACTTCACCTTTGTACACCCATTTACGCCCGGATCCACAAGTGATAGTTTTTGTGTCTGACGGTAAATCCATCTGGTCGTTGATCTGAAAAACATTTTTGAGAATAAACTGAAAAAGAAACTCCCACTCGAACAAGCGCGAAATGGTCTGGATCAGCAGTGCACGTGAACGTTCGTTGGATCCAAAAATATTGACTGTAATTGAGTGATGAAGATAAAATGATAAGAGTTGTCTCTAGCGACCAAAAAGCCTTGAGCCGGACCGGACCGGACCGGACCGGACCGGACCATAGCTGCGGGCAAGCTTGATCGAGTCCGAGCTCATCAAGGTTTTCACCGGGCGGAGCCCGGGAAAGTTTTCACGAAACACGCTTACTTAGACGTCTCATCGCTCGTAAGGTTTCTCCAGTTGCCACCAGCCGAATGAATTTGAATGTTTTCGCTCTGGCTGTTGCACTCTTCAATCCATTCTAAAAAAATAGTCATTAGATGAGTTGGGTAACAAAAAGGAACAAAGTAATCGATCGAAACAAACGGACCTTCATTTGCTGTCACAATTAGTGCCAGTGAAGCCACAAGCAAGAAAACGAATTATTTCTTCATTTACAACTAAAAAGTAAATTTTTAAAAATGTGAATTTAAAAAGAGAAAGTTTAGTATAAAAACGAAAAGTTGTTCAAATAAATACTAAGATTTTGGAATTTGATTTGACGACTTCATTTTCTCATCAAATTTCTATTTTCTGATTTAAAGGTCTATGTTGTGACAATGATTCGATTCAAAAAGCATTTTTTTGATAGAATCATACATTTTTTTCCTAATAATATTTGACTTGAAATTATTTAATGGAAAAACGAGAAGAAAAATTTTAGCGCTTTTACGGCAAACTGTATCTGAGTTGCCATATTTTTGTTTTTAAATATAAATGCTTTATTCAAAAATATGATCAAACACCTAGATTTTGAGCTAAGCTTTTGAATTAAGCAGTTACCTAAGCGGGCTAACACAAAGCTTTGCGGTTCTAACCTGATAAAGGTCCCTTCCAAATTCTCAAGTTGGAAAGAAAGTTCTCGGAAAAAGTTTGACTGGAATTTCTTAAAAACGAATTCACGAATGCTTGGCGCCTACTTTATAGTTAAGTTTATAGATTTTCGAAACCATTCTCTGCATTTTCTCTTGTTGTTCATACCGGGTGCTGCCCCATGTCCAATACTTTTGATCCTCTTTATCTCCGTGATACTCAGCCATCCAATTTCGAATCCTTTCCTCTTCTTCGGGCTTTTGGATCCAATCTGCCTAAAAGCATGCTGTCTCGGGAAAATTTTCAAATGCCTGCCTACCTTTAATACCTTTAACTAAACCTATTGGGCTTTAATTAAACGTAACAACTCGCCCGTGGGCTCGTGTAGCATCCGACAGAGATCCACAGGTGATAGTTTTTGTGTCTGACGGAAAATCCATCTTGTGGTTGATCTGAATAACGTTTTTGAGGATAAACTGAAAATAAAACTCCCACTCGAACAAGCGCGAAATGGTCTGGATCAGCAGTGCACGTGAACGTTCGATAGAGCCCATAATATTGACTGTAATTGAGAGATGAAGATAAAATGAGAAGGGTTTTCTCTAGCGACCAAAAAGCCCTGAGGCAAGGGCCGGATTATGGCTCAGAGCAAGCCTTAATCGGGTCTAAGCTCATTGAGGCTTTGACCGTGCCGGGCCCGGAAAATCTTTCACCAAACTACTCTTACTGAGACGTCACATCACTCGAAAAGTCGAAAGTTTCCAGCCGAAAAGTTTCCAGCCATGAATTCCAGCCGAATGAATGACAATTTTTTTCACTCTGGCTGTTGCACTCTTTCTCAATCCATTCTAAAAAATTAGTCATTAGTCGAGTTGGGTAAGAAAAAAAGAAAAGAAAAAAGGGGCAAGCATTTGATCGAGGTTTTCACCGGGAAAGATTTCACGAAACACGCTTACTTAGACGTCTCATCGCTCGTAAGGTTTCTCCAGTTGCCATCAGCCGAATGAATGACAATTTTTTCACTCTGGTTCTTGCACTCTTCCATCCATTCTCCAAAAAGAGCCAGTAGACGAGTTGGGTAAGAAAAAAAAGAACAAAGTAATCGATCGAAACAAACGAACCTGTATTTGGTGCCACAATTCGTGCCAGCGAAGAAAACGCCACAAACAAGAAAGAATTCTTTCTTCATTTACAACCAACTGAAACGCAAATTTTATAAAATGTGAATTGTAAAAAGATAAAGTTTAGTAAAAACGAGAAGTTGTTCAAATAAATACTAAAAAATTATGAATAAAATGAAGTTGTCAAGTTGAAAGTCGAAATTCGGAATTTAAAGGTCTATGTGGTGTCTGGAAAATGATTCAATCCAAAAAGAATATTTTTAATGGAAGCATACATTTTTTCTTTTTCCTATTAGGTTAATAGCGCCTGCTCTTGAACAGCGCACCTTAGGGCTATACAATTTTATCAAACCCTATTCTCTATATGCTGTTCAAGATTTCTTATTTATTACAACTCGTGTTTTTGAGTCATAGTTTTGTTTTTATATATGAATACTTTATTCAGAAATAAACTGCCGAAATGAAGATTCACAATAGCTCATGAAAAATAGAAGATACCACTATGGAATCAGAAGCACTCCATTTGCCTCAATGTTTAGTAAAGACTACGATGATGAACGGGGAAATAAGATAAGTTTTTAATTATTTACACAATAGTTTTCAAACTATCTTGCTTAGTGATGAAAACGAAAATGGGTCCGGAAATGGCGTCCGAGAATTTTGGTTTGTTTTGTTTATTGTTTATGTTTTGTCTACCGTATTTCTACGAATAGAAGACCGCCTTTAATAGAAGACGAGATCTAGAGGGTGATCGAAAAAAGAGAAGACCAGGTTGAATATAACACCGGTCTTTGATTCCAGGTATCACTTCTTTTCTATTTTTCGCTAAAATTATTGTATCCGAAATACGAAAAGTCAACCCGAAAGTGTAGTTTTATTCCGTTTCGTCTTTTTTCCGATGTTTTTCAGATTTTATTGCGTTACTAATTTTTCTTTCTTAGGTAATGCCGAATTCAAAAAAGTCTAAGAGCAAAAGTCAAGCGAAAGGCTTACTCATTTTCGTTCAAACTCGAAGCTGTTCGTTTTTCAACGGAGAAACCAAAGGAACCGGCTGATCGTTGGCTGCTCAATGGTTGTCCCTTGTGCTAGCTTTTAGATAGTACCAGCTTACTATTAGCTTTTATCTATTGTTTCTTGTTAAATTTCATTTTTAGTGATCTAAACGAAGAGCTCATTGAGGAACGTTTGAGGGATTCGACTCGTCGCACTCGATGGAGGAGCCGCCGATCAAAGGAGCCGCCGAGATTATGGTTGGGGGTTTTAAAGAAGATTTTTTTTAGCAAGCCTCCTTTAATATGATCCAAAATCTATAAAAATTGGCGTAATTAGTTGGCCTATAAATGGTAGATTAGGCTGTCCAGAAAGTCTTTTTGTTCCTTTTTGTACTTCCGTTGAAAACCAACAAATGCACCAATTGAACTTTTTCATTAGAAAGACCAATTATTTTTCTGCAAGATAACATTAAAACAGGTTTTGTCAATGTCTGGATTTTTTGGAAGCGTGCAAAAAACGTGCAAAAACAATTCTTGGTTGCCCGTTTGTCTTTTGGTTGAAAGCCTTCAGAGAAATTCTTTCAGCCAATTTCTTCGTAGAGGTTTTTATCGATTTTTTCGAAAACACGCTTTCATTCTCGAGTTTGTCTAAACCCTTTTTATTTAGAGGAAACCATAGGTTAATTGGTGAATTTGTTATTTTTCAACGGAAGTACGAAGAGAAACTAAAAGACTTTCTGGACAGCCTAATATTATTCGCTTTAGGCTCTTCGAGAATTGTCTCTCCGCCTTTCATCAAAAATTCACATAAAATATGCTCTTTGCAAAAACTATTTATGTACAAAAAATAAAAAATAAAAGAAACAAAGCAAAAAAGTCTTGATACCTTTTCTCTTTTTCTCCTGTTTTTTTTTTACGTTAGAGCTTTGCTAATTTTTGATATTGTTTCTTTTTAGAGATGCCGTGCAAGCAATACATCGACAGTCCCACAAAGGAGCGAATCGTTGAAGCTCGAAAAGTTGGACTCAAAGTCAGTGTGATTCAAAACCTCTTCTCCGTTTCGAAGATGACAATATGGAGGCTCTGCAATCGGATGAAAGAGCGTGGAAATGCACCGATTAAAGAAAAAAACCCGACAACCAAAAACAGCGTCTCGACAAGGCCGGGCACTTCGGCATTTCTTCGCCTCGGCTCCGGATTTTACAGTCACAGACGGGAAATGTTACTTAAAAAGGGAATTTGGGATTGATGTAACTTCGCAAACGATTCGAAATCGACTGAAATTTCACGACGACCTTTGATGGTTCTTAGACACTCGAGGCTCCGTTTGGAATTCGCCCCCACCTACCAACATTGGTCGATCGATGACTGGAAACGTGTCTTGTGGAGTGATGAAACTAAGTTCAATTTGTTCAGCAGTAATGGCAACTACACCATCATGAGACCCACTGGAACACGATACAACTTGAAATACATTCGACAGACTGTCAAACTCAGTAGAGGAGGGATACTGTGTTGGGGATGTTTTTCTTCAAAGTTAGTTGGACCTCTAATCCTCATAGATGTATTCATGGACAGTGTGAAATATCGGGATATGATGCAAAATGATATGCTTCCTTACGCAAATGTAGCAATGAGTCCAAACTGGCTATACCAGCAGGGTGGGGATCTACGCATACAAGTGAATTGATGTTGGAACAAAAACTGAAGATCCGACCTCGAGCTTTTGTGAGATTGCTGGTTTCGGCTCAACAATGTCAATTTGCTGCGAACACCACCCTATTCACCGGATTGTAACCCTATTAAACATTATTGGGTACATGTCAAACGAAAATTGCGAGGATTCCGCTTTGCGTCAAAAAAATGAGCTTTGGGACAAGGTTCAGTCTATTTGGAGCTCAATTTCACAACGAACCACGGAAAAATTGATCGCAAGTATGCCAAACCGACTTCAGGAGATTATAAAAGCTAAAGGAGGCCCAACTCGATACTGAATTTTGTTAGAAATAAATAACTTTTAAAAATGTATCAGGACTTTTTGACCACTGTATATCTAGATCATAGGTGTTGACTATAATTTTAAAATTTTATCTTTTTAGGGTCTCAATCGCCGGATACAAACCTTGGGTCATTTCTCGCCGAAACCCGCGCCATCTTTCATCCGAAACTCAAGAAACCTTCTTTTCGAGGAGAGGTCCTAAGCCCGCCATCCAACTCCTTCACTATTCCTTTCATTAGGCACTGGCTACAACGAGGCGAGACGCACAAGTGGAATTCATTTTGGAGATTTGCCGAAGAATCGCGTTTTCTTCGATCGGCGTAAGTTTTTATCAAGTGGACAGTTATTGGAACTTTACCTTTTTCAATCATTTCAATTTAGATTTTATGCGCACGACGAAGAATCTCTTTGACGTTTTTGTTAGCCAAGTGCGTGTATTTTTTGTAAAATCTGGCGATTTCAATCATTTCATTTTAGTCAACAAGCGGCGACACAGCATGTCTTGATCAAGCAGCCGTTTGGTGTCTTGCTACGAGAAGTCCCTATTTTCGCATCAATCCGCCAAATATTGTAAGTTTGTTATTTTTTTCAAACGATTTGAAAGAAATAATTGTATTCAATTTTAGAATCGTCTTTCATTGACATGTACTGATGCAGAGAAAGTCGCCGATTTTCTGTGGGGAGTCATGGTTTGTTTTTCGCGTTTTTATCAGCACTATAGTCTTTTAGAATCCAAAGATATCCAAATCCAATTCATAATAGCTTTTTACAGTACTCGCTTAGGTTTATCTCCGCACGACGGCTCGCCATGATCTCGATCAACTCGCCAGTTTCATCAAAAGGTTGAAATCTTAGCTTGAGAAGTAGTCTATTTGTTGACTTTCTTAAGCTTTATTGATTAAATGATTTGCATTCTAGAAACAATTTTCTTTTACCGTTTGTTATTATGGCTAAAATAAAAGTTCTTTATTACAATCAGGAAAATCTTAATGGAATTTATTTTTTTTATGGGTCGATCGCAGCTTCTTGGTGTTCCACCTAAAACAATGTGATGAGTAAAGTTCGAAACAAAACTTTTAAAACGTACTTGACAAGCGTAGCATTTCTCCGTCAGCTCTTTCCAACACAATTTGCAATATGTGGCAGGGCATTGTTCACATTTGTGTGTTTGCCACGCGCGAAGATATGTCAAAAATTTGTGAAATGAAAGAATAACCCGAAAAGCAACCTTACTTGACATAAGAAACACTCAAATGGCCTGTACAAATTGTCGACGATCACGCGGCGTATCAATGAGTTTTTCGCGAAACAGAAGCTAAAATAAAAGATGAATTTATTCACCATATCAAAAGCTTTACTACAAATCATCATCGTCCTCATCTTCCTCATCTTTCTCTTCTTTTCGTTCTTTTCGCCATTTGACGAAGAAAGCAATGCGTCGACGAGCCTCTTCACGAGCAATCAAACGATGTTTCAAACACTAAAAAGTCAAAGAATCATTATTGATTAAAATCAGTTAGCCTTTCATCTACATGCTCAGACTTTGTAATTTAACTTAAAAAAATTTAGCCAACAAACATACCAAGTTGTAGAGCCAAATCACACGAGCACGGGCTTTTCGGGGAAACATATAGGGCAAGAAGCAGAATAAGATCACTCGTTTTGGCAAAAATGCAAGCAAAACCTAGAAAAGTAAATCTTTCAGCAAAATAACCAAATCAACCTGGGAAAAGAACATGAAAAGCAATGGAAGAAAAATCGTACCCACATAAATGTCATAATCGGGTAGAGATGGCTTTAACTAAAGGAAAAATCACAAGCTATAAGCATCAAAATAATCTGTTTTTAATAAAACAAACCAAGCAATCATCCAAAACGAAAATCGGTTGAACGGTTTCGTTTTTAAGCTGGAAGAGTTTCCGCAGCATTTTCGGGAAGATCCCCACGCCCGTCACCTAAAGTGAGAAAACAATTAGCAATCTACACTTTAACTCTAAACTGACGTTTAAATGAAGTGTCGGTAGTTGTATGCTTTTGACGCCTTTCGGGACCCCGTCAACTATCTAAAAGATAGGTATTAAAGGTGAAAAATAGGCACTAACAGCATTGATCGCCCGATAAAGCAAATGATCAACGGCTACAATTATTATCACCACCACACAAAGAGTCACAAATTTCGAAACGGGTAACCAGAATTGTTTTAATTCTTTCCATTTTGGAAACCTAAAATAAAGAGACTTTTAGGAGAGCAACATCGTAAATCAAAACCTGAAATATTGGCTGGTAATCCTTAACTGCCGCTTCTCCAAGCTCGATAACTTTCCAATAAATGGAAGAGTCTTTTGATTTCTTGTTTCCCTCTCATGATCGATTTTACCGAAAGCACTTAACATACAAAACTTATTAGTTCAATTATTCTATTCAACTCACGAGGTAATACTCCGATTTTCGAAGCCCAAATCATTCGTGTACGCATCAGACATCTTGAAAGCTTTGTCAAAATCGAGATATATGACCAAAACGAGAAGGGCGGCGAGAACACTTTGCAAAGATTTGACAACTTCCTAAAATTAACAGTTATGAAAATCTTTAAAGGTTGTTTAATGTTTCTAGACACGTATTTTTAACAAACTTATAAATGAAGGTTTGAATGTACCTTTGCTAATCGCATCAGATGAAGAATTTTTGCTTCCAGGGTTTTTATGTGAAGAGCTGATGCAACTCTCGGTGCCTCAACACTTATCACTCGAATCTAAAAGGAATATATGCAAGGACCAAACATCAAGAAAACCCCACCTTTGTCTCCATTTCTTCAGCAATTTGCTTTGAAATGTTACGCATATCGATGCTTTCTCTAAAAGCCAAACATTTAGCTTGCCAAACAAAAACAAACTGTTCAAAATCTTGTGGCGAATTTTTTCCTAGCACACTATTGCATACGTCGTAGCCTTGTTCTTTTCGTTTATCATCCTGAATTTGCTCATTGTCTCAAAAAAGTACGGGGTAACATACCTCACAAATATCCAAAGCGTCAAGCGGCTTGCAAATCAAAGTGCTCAACAAGAACGGCGCTTGTTGTTGACATTGTTCCTAAACAATAAACAATAACATTTCCTATCAGAAAAATCACTTTTAATGCAGCAAAAGCTTGTGAACAGATGAGACTCCCTTTATCGAAAATTTGCGTACATTGCTGCTCCATCTTTTTGCCCATATCACGTACAAACTAAAATGAAAGTCAGTTTATTTATCGCCGAAAAAGTTGACACCTTTTCCTTGAATTTCGTGTAAAATGGCTTGCGAAAAGTGACCGTTCGATTATCCTCATTTAACATGTTTGCTCGTTGTGCCAAATCCTAAGAAAAGCATCCTTAAATGGTTATCAACAAATCTTACCAAAGCCGATTGATCAATCATTCGATCCAACTTTTCATCATCACTTTCTAAACAATAACAATAACAACAATAACAATAACAATAACAATAAGCATAATCAAAATCGAAGTATTACCATACCTTTTACTTCTTTCTGATCAACGAACGAAAAATCTCCCTTCAACTCGAGAATTTTGGCTAAACAAAACAAAGCAAAAGAACTTATTATCTAAAAAGCTTATAACTTACTCAGCGTGTCTTTCAGCGTCTCACGCATAGGTCCAATCAGTGTCTTCCTTCGTGCAGACGCCAACTTAAGATGAAAAGTAAACATTTAAAGGTGTCGAAGATTAAAGATGTCACCTCCGTCGAGATTTTCACTCCGCAAACCACATTGTCGGTGGCAATCCTAGAATTTATGGATTAGCCATAGTAAATTACAAGATTACTTGAAATTCGTGATGATGTTGTCGATTGGACCAGCGCGAACATTGTCGAACACAAAGATGCTCAATAGGGCTAAAAGAAAGGCAATCATAAATCAAAGAAGTTTCCCACTTTGTCCACTTGTGCCAAAAACGCCTAGGACAAAGATCCATAGTCCACAACGATACGACTAAAAAGTAAACTTGAGTAAGTAACTGAAGTAACTGAAACAGAATAAACTCTACCTTGCTGTAGGCAAAAGCTAGCGTGTTTCCGATGATTACAATCCATTTTAGAATGATTGACGACACTTTGTGATATTCGATGGCAAAGTTGATATTTTTCCAGACGAGATAATATGAACCTAGAAAGAGTTGATTCATAAAAATACAAAACAAATGAAACTCACCAATTGAAAGGAAAAAGCCGATGAAAAGGTTGACGATGAAACGAAGCTTTGCGTAGTCAGTCGATTCACTAAACTTTAAAAAAAAGTAATAAGGCTACATTAAAAAGTAGTAAAGCTATGAAATAAAAAAAAGAAATAAAAAGAATTGAATTATCAGCAAGCGTAGAACATGGGATACTCCCAAAAACTGATAGTAACCTTGTGAAGAAGAAATCGATGCAAATGTTCCATTTATATCGCTTCCTGAGTTTCTTTCTCTTCTCATCGTCGAATTTGAAAGACTTGAGGAATTTGCATGGCCGCATTGCAAGAAAAGTCGGAAGGAAATGAAAGATTTTGATGAAGAAATTTGAAGCCGAATTTATCAATTTTAATTTTCGAATGTTAATTTGCACGCAGAACCATTAAGCTGTTCATCAACAATTAAAAATCGTACACCTAACACAAAGTGAAAGTGAAAGTGAGAGTTGAAAGTTGTTGAAAAGTTTAAAACCCATTAAAAACTTTTCTAAAGGCTGGTCACTCAAAAAGTGACCAAATCACCTCAGCTGAAGAAATCTCTTATTTTTTACCTGAAGCCAACTCTGGTTTTTTTAGTCAAAAACTTTTTGAAATATAGACAAATTTATCAAAAAATCTGGGAAGGATTTATGGGTTGGTTTTTGAGAAATCACTGTGCAAACTTTTTCCTAGAACTCTCTTTCCAACCCAATACCACTTTGTTTAATGCACTGAAGTAACTATAAAGTATGCACCAAGCTTTCCTGGATTCGTTTTTAAGAAATTCCAGTCAAACTTTTTCCGAGAACGTTCTTTCCAACCCAATAATTCGAAAGGGGCCTTTCTCAGGTTAGAACCGCAAAGTTTTGTGTTAGCCCACTTCGGTAACTGCTTAATGCAAAAGCTTAGCTCAAAATTTAGGTGTTTGTTCATATTTTTGAATAAAGCATTTATATTTAGAAACAAAAATATGGCAACTCAGATACACTTTGTCGTAAAAGCGCTAAAATTTTTCTTCTCGTTTTTCCATTAAATTATTTCAAGTCAAATATTATTAGGAAAAAAAGGAAAAAATGTATGATTCTATCAAAAAAATGCTTTTTGAATCGAATCATTGTCACAACATAGACCTTTAAATCAGAAAATAGAAATTTGATGAGAAAATGAAGTCGTCAAATCAAATTCCAAAGTCTTAGTATTTATTTCAACAACTTTTCGTTTTTGTATTAAACTTTCTCTTTTTACAATTCACATTTTTGAAAATTTGCTTTTTAGTTGTAAATGAAGAAAGAATTCGTTTTCTTGTTTGTGGCTTCACTGGCACTAATTGTGACAGCAAATGAAGGTACGTTTGTTTCGATCGATTACATTGTTCTTTTTTTGTTACCCAACTCGTCTACTGCCTATTTTTTAGAATGGATGGAAGAGTGCAAGAACCAGAGTGAAACCATTCAAATTCATTCGGCTGGTGGCAACTGGAGAAACCTTACGAGCGATGAGACGTCTAAGTAAGCGTGTTTCGTGAAAACTTTCCCGGGCTCCGCCCGGTGAAAACCTTGATGAGCTCGGACTCGATCAAGGCTTGCCCGCAGCTATGGTCCGGCCCTTGCCTCAAGGCTTTTTGATCGCCAGGGATAACCCCTCTCATTTTATCTTCATCTCTCAATTACAGTGAACGATATGAGGTCTATCGAAAGTTCACGTGCACTGCTGATCCAGGCCATCTCGCGTTTGTTCAAGTAGGAGTTTCTTTTTCAGTTTGTCCTCAAAAGTGTGTTTCAGATAAACGACCAGATGGATTCACCGTCAGACACAAAAACTATCGTTTGTGGACAGAAGCGTAAATGGTTGCACAAAGGTGAAGTCGTTGTCACTGTTGGATGCTACACGGGCCCACGGGCAAGTTTCTTTGCAAATAGGTTTAGTTAAAGGTATTAAAGGTGACCAGGCATTTGAAAATTTTCTGGAGACAGCCAGCTTTTAGGCAAATTGGATCCAAAAGCCCGAAGAAGAGGAAAGGATTCGAAATTGGATGGCCGAGAATCACGGAGTTAAAGAGGATCAAAAGGATTGGACATGGGGCATCACCCAGTATAAACAACAAGAGAAAATGCAGGGAATGGCCTCGGAAATCTATAAACTTTTAGTTAACACCGATAATATGTAAGTTTTAGCTCACTTTCAACGCGAAAAGGGTTCTTTTCCGCTATACATCCGCAAAATTAGCATTCTTCCATGAAAATGAACAAGGAAAACCACAGAAAATAATTTTTTCGCTATTTTCTAAGGGCGCGGTGGATTCATGTTTCGCCTACCCACTACCGAGGCCAATGCAATCTCGTTCTTCCAACAACGCCGCATTTAGCTTACTACTCGCACATGCGCCAACCATCACGTTATGAAGCTATTGCTCAATCAGAACCCCAATGCGGATGTGACGAAACGTCGTGCTGGACAGCGATCGACCTGCGTGTTGGCTCATGGATGGAGAGCACCAAAATTCCGTTTCTCACAATCCTACGATTATGGATGGACTCAACAGTGAACCTCGATCAACTATTGTGCGAAAGAATTGGAGATGAATCAAAGAACCGCAGTCGACTTCAACAACTAGGATTCCTTGCGTGGAATATCTAGTGAATAAGCTGAGAGGAAAAATTGGAGAAACCAATCGAATCGTCGAAGTTGACGAGTCTCTCTTTGCGAATGTGGACCGAATCTTCCCGCAAGTGTGGATATTTAGAGTAGTTTTCCGGGAAACCAAGGAATGTTTCCTGTTGGGGTGGTAGGCCGCTCGAGACCAAGACCCGATTGAAAGCGATGATTGAACACATCGAGTCGGGAACCTAAATTGACTCCGATTGTTGGCGAGGATGCAAGAGGAGGCCGGCTTTACCCACGCTCATGTCAATGAGTACAACAAGTACAACAACTTTCTGAATCCGGATGACCCTGCCATTCACACGCAGACGATCGAGCGTCTAGGGGAAAAATAGAGAAACAAGAAGCATCGCGACACGTCATTTCCTACCGAACTACCTCCTGAATTGATGATTCGAAAAGAAGTGGCAAAGGACGATTTCTACGAATGGGTGTTGCAACAAATTGCTACGGCATGGATTGATCCTCATTGATTCCTCGTTGATTAATGATCAGGGGTTATTTTTGTGAATGTATAACGGAAAGGAACCGCAAAAAGTTTCTGAATAAAACTTTGACTTGCAATGTTTTCTGTAATTTTCAGAATCAGGAAGCAAGTCGCCGTTGTACCGGCAGACTATGTGAATGCTTATTGGGAAGGAGAGGCTTTCTCAGAGGACAACTACTACATGAGAACGGGTTTCATAGGCTTTGAAGAGGACGATAACTCTGTGCTGGAATTTGCGAACTATTTGGTATTTGTATTTCGTGGTGGCTTTCGGAACGGATCAAAGCCTGATGCAAAAGAAGGAATCAGGTCAGACGAGTATTTATTAGGCTGGCTAATAAGTAATGGTGGATTTGCTGGAAGATGATCTCAAACTAAACCAATCTTTGGTCTTATTCGAAAGCTTTATTCAAGAGGAACACAGTAGCGAAGACCATTTGTTGATTCGTTCCGTTTTCAAATTTTTATAAGCATTTAAATGGTACTTAGTCAGTTTGGTACCCAAAAAAGTGTCAAAATCACATTTCGGGATCACTAAATTCTAGCTGGGCGGTTTGGCGACTCGTTGAGGCGAGAGTCGACGGTTCGACTCCTAGCTGTGACCAAATATTGAACCTTTTTTGCAAAAAGACCAAGCAAGCAGATGCCACAAAATGGTCTTAGCAGATATTGACGCCGTTGAAATGCAAAGGCCAAGCGGACACGGTGAATCCGATGCTGTATTCAGTTTTTGTCCATACTCAAAAACACACAGGAAAAACGCATCCAAAGCTTGGGTGTCTACTCGCGGAAATCGTGCCGCGGGAACAAACATATTTTTAGCCTAGGTTCTTGGCCGAAAAATTGACGAAATGTGGTTTTGGCACTTTTTTCGATCTGACCGAGCTCACTTAAATGCTTTTAAAAATTTGAAAACCGAACGAAGCAAAAAATGGTTTTCGCTACTGTGCTCCTATTGAATAGAGCTTTCGAATAAGATCAAACACGTTAACTTTGGTTTGGTTTGAGACCATCTGTCAGTCAATCCATCATTACTTGTTGGCCAGCCTAATATATGGGCTAGCTTGTTATAAGGAAGGTCGGGCCGCAAACCCAGATACTTTTTCAAAAAATTCAATTAAAGGGGTTCTTGAACAGTTCCTAGTAAACGGTTATGAATACTTATTAAAAAAAATGTAATTTTGACTTAAAAATAAAATTAAAAGTACGTTAGGGTCAGGATCGGGCCTGGCTTTTTTCAGCCCTGTTTACAAGGGTTTGGAAAACTTCTTTACATTTCTTTGCTTTAAAACTTAAGCTGGCGATCACTAGTCAGAGTCAGAATTGAGATAATACTTTATTTTAGTCGTTACTTTCAAGACCATTATCAATGGCGAGAACGACATGACGAGATCCAATCGCTAACAGAGCATGCAGCGACTTATGGTGATAGCTGGGAAGGACGTGTCGACATTGTGACTGTTTTTCGAAAAGGAGCAAATCACAAAACGTGCACTTATCTCTATGGAGCATCTGGTGATTGGATGATTACTGAGGTGAAGACGTGGAGTCGGCCATGTGCACTTGGATGTGGAGATGTTTGTGTTGTGCATTTAACGGCTTGATATCTTTTGAATAAAGGAATACATGAAAAAGATTCCAAGTAACGCAAGAAAGCAGAAAAAAAAAAGAAAAAAAGAAATGCAGCCTTAAAACTAAGTCCCTTAATTTTAAAATGATTTTTCATGGAGTTGACATTTTAAAATTGAACAATAGTTACATTCAAATCTTTAAAATAGTTTTCTGAATTTGATTTCATTAATTCCATTTAGATTCATTTAAAACTTAAAAATGTCTTCAAATAACCAGCAAAATCACAAAACGAGCAATGAAAATCTTTGTGCTTCTTCTTTTGACATCATGCCTGGCATCAAAACAACCTTGGCAAATAGATTTCCAGTTCGAACTTCATCGTCAAGATTTGTTGGCGCATTTTCGACTTCAAGTGAGCGAATTGTTATTCCTTTGCGGTCCGTTTCGATCTTGAAACGCTCGGCAAACGCTTGAATTTGTGGTAGAACTTGTGGGTTTTCATTCCATGCAATGTAACTAAAATGCAAAGATACAATCACCTTTCTGTCTTTGACACCAAAATCCAAAATCACCAAAATCAAAAAA